AAAACGGGTTGGAAATTTAAGGCTTGAAATTACACATATACAACTGAGTTCTCTGTTCAAAAAGTAACAGTAACCTCCTCAGAGACTATACTGCTCATACTTTCCGGTTGGTCAGCTTAGGGAAGAGTACACTAGGTTATTTACTATGTTCCGCAATAAGAGGAAAAACAAATATTAAAACTAAGATAAAAAACGTGGGTACTTCTGCGAGAAAATAGAAAGCTCGCACCGTCGCAGTATAAATAACTTAAGTAAAATCGTTAGCATGAAAGATTAGAAAGGGAAATCATGGGAGAGGATTTTATAACCGAGTTGCACATGCACCATAAGTTTCGTTAAGAACCAAATAGCGTTATTCATTTAATTTAATTTCCTAAAATAATCACTTTTGCGCCAGAGTTCAAGTGGTGGTCAGTTGCTTTCAGTTGGGCCGCTAATTATAACTTACGGTGTTTCATAAGAACACTTGCACTTAATTACTCCAATTACAGTTAGACACTCGAGTAAATTGGCTGGAGGAGGTTGAGCCCAGGTTCAAGAGAAAGAGTTGAAAGACAATTTGAATCAGTAGCAGCCACGAATATCTTTCATTATTTTCAAATGACCCCGTCGCTCAAGGGAGTAAGCTATAATCAACACACCTTCTTAAAATCGTCACGTACAGCGAGGGAAAGTATTCAATATGTTAATACGATTTTGCAAAAAAAGAGAATAAAACTTTAACCCACATATTGTGCTTTGCCACATTCTTTTCATAGTTTTAGTGATCAAAAACAAACACTGGTTGCTCCTAAAACTGAGACTACGATTTCCTGTAATACGACGAGTTCCTTTATTTAGATCAACCTTTTGGATCGTAAACAACCAGCCATCTATTAAAAAATTAAAGGTCTTTCCTCATTGAAGACTCCTTTCACTGTATTGCGGGGCTACATTCTGTCAATAAAGTGTTTTCTCATCGAAAACAAGTAGTGACAAAGAATCGGTTGTGCTTTGTTAAGTGATTACTAAGAAAGGAATGCTTTGTTTTGAAAATTATCAGTCCGCACTTCCTTTCGTTTCAAGGGCACCTACCAGATTCCCTTCTGACGACATTACAAAGGAATTTGAGTCGTATCATTTGAAACCGAAAATAGCTCTCCATACGCAAAAACCCATGAAACTGTTTTAGAATTTGAAAGTTCCTGTCCTGCTTTCGAATTTACAACCACAAGAAATCGTGTCCTTTTGCCAACTATGACAACTGGTCAAACAGGATCAAAGATCCTTTTTTTTTTAGTTCTTTTTTGGCAGAGTGAGAAAAATTATCAATGAGTGGTGAAAATAAGCAGTTAGGTAAATTCAATATAATAAAATCTTATTAAGTATCGGCCTTTTTTTTGTTATTACTATCATTTCTTAGGAAACAACGAGTGAAAAAAACCACAAGGAAAATTCTTATAGGTTTCCATTCCCTGCCCCTAACTCTCTGTTCTGTCACGTCACTCCCAACAAGTTGTAACTCAATTCGTTTCAGCACTCGAACGGTCGGAAATGAAGTAAACCTTTTGCGCAGAGGGCGTTAAAAATGCTGACACAACACGCAAGAAATAATCCTTTCCGTCGTCAAGCAACAACCAGGCAAAACAAACAAGCTCCAGGGAGAAAATACATTTTTCCTGTCAATGGAGCTGAGGAAATGATTCAGCAACAACGAGAATCCGTTTACAACACCCTTGGTAAATAAACGACCACTTGAGCTGCTGAAAAAACAGCTTAATGCGTATTAGTAAAATGTGTATTGTTATAAAATACCATTACACTACACATTCCTAAATGACAAAAATCGTCTTTCGGTTCAAGCCTTTGTCGACCACTTGCGCGCATTTAACTTTAAAACGAATTCAACTACTCAACTAAATATCTAAGAGATAGTTGATAAAGCAAGAGGAAAACCACCTCCAATAAAATCCGTTTTTGAACTGTAATTTTTGCATTCGGTAAACAACTAGATTAGACTGGGATAGACAGGAGGGAACAGTGTTTTACCTTAACCGTGTGCGAAGAAATGCATTCCGCCAGATAATCGTATTCTCGGTAGATAAAACTTAACACTGTAAACTAATCGCGACTCTTCGTTATTTTATCTTCTAACTACTGACAACAACAAAAACATTTGCCTCTAACCCAGCGAACGTTTCAAGTGCTGTGTATCCGCCCTCTTTCATTGACATGGTAGAAAAAGTCGCAGTACTGTAAACATTTTACTGAACTTTGATACAATGGGGACATAGTTTTCAAACATCTTGGTTGGGATAACACATAATAAAAAGATATTTTCAAGGACTTATTTTTCTAATTTGCGAGTATGAGGCAAACAAATCACATTGCAAAGACCAATAGATTTCGGTCTGTGTGATTTAAAACAACCCGAGTTTCATTTCTTCCAAGGAAACCCTCAAGGAGAGGGATCGTTCTATTCAAAAACTTAGCCCAGGTTGACCGAACAATGACAGTAACGAGGCAATAAAATTGATCGCCTGTCCCCATATACCGTCGGCTTACTTGTGGTTCTTCGGAGGAAACGTACCATGAGACTTTCATGAATAGTTCTGTTGTGGCCCTTTTTTCCCTTGTTTATTTTATATTTAGAGCGCCGTTCTAGACTTTAACATGAGCTTGACCTTTAAAGATGACAAATCCGGAGAGTTTGTTTGATAAAATATCCGCTCGTATGCGGTAAGATAACTCCCTTTGAGTGTAATGCGGTCTTTCAATTTGGTTTAATAAGTCTCTGGGAATCGAATCATATCAATCCCTAGTAATACATTTGGCATGTTGTTAAAACGGGACTCGTCCCCTTAACTTCAAAGTTTCTCTGCCAAAGAGGCCGAAATACGTCACATTACTGTAACGAGTTACGAATTCAGTAAAACAGCTGTTTCTCAGAAAACACAGGAAAATTCGACGGGCAGCAGCCTGTACCCAACCGAAAGATCATGAGATCAGATAGGAGGAATACGATTGTTGACACAAGCTTAACTAACATTTGCGTGTAAGAAGCAATATTTGTCGTGGAAACAGATGTCAAAAGATTTCAAACCTTTTTTGGCTTGTGGTCAAATGTTCACGGAAGTTTTCATTTCAAAGTAAGATTGCCGCCCCACCCAAAAATAATATCAAGATCGTAGGTTACACTCTGAACTGGACTGAATTCTCTGGAAAAAGAGACAGAAATCTTCCTTCTCTAATCTAGAGTACGAATGGTCGTCAAAATCCAGCTCCGAGAGAAAAGCAATATTTAAATGTTCTGAAATATAAAAACGATGATAGACAGGTCTTTTAACGGTTAAGGGGTGAAAAGTCGGGTTGAGATGAACTACGTTCGCATGGGTAATCATTTGATTTCGCTTGCACTCCGTAAGACAATGCTATGACAAAAATTTCTTCGCGGCTTGAGGAGTGGTTGTAAGCTACACACATAAGTCGCACAGGGTTGATTTGCAGGGGACGATAAATAACTTGGAAACAAGCTTGCAAGTAAAAATAAGTTACCCTTCTCGTGAGTCACCTCGATCTTTCTAGTAAACATCCTGCCGCGCAAACAAATGTTGTTATTCGTTTAGTCACGAACGTGGGACCCCCCAAAAAAACAAAAACAAAAGTACCCCACGAGCAGAAAAAAAACCTAATTCCTCCCACGAGGAATGGAACCTCTGACTTCGGATTTCATGATCTGGTGCTTTTCCACTAACAGGGTAATGTAGTATTATCAACTGAGTTGATAACGTAAATTAGCCACCGTAGAGAGTTTCAAAGCTGAAGTTTCAAGCGTTAGCCCTAGCCTTTCGCCCTGACGAAGGGCTAACGCTCGAAACGTCAGCTTTGAAACTCTTTACGGTGGCCAATTTACGTTAGAATCTCAATAGATAATACTAAATTACCCAGTTATACTCTCCCACTGAAGCAGCACCACAGTTTCTATAGTAATTTACCCTCTTTATTCACCTGCTCTTCCACAAAGTTGGCACATAGGTGGCGTAGAAAGCTACGCTATATTAGTTCCATATGTGACAAGCTCTCTGCTTACTGATTACTGGGATCAGACAAGTCTAGGCTAGAGAACTCTATGAGCAGTCAAAACTTTCTGATCGTATCAATTAATTTCTACCGAAATCTTGCCTACTACTCTGACAAATTTTCTAAAATAATTCTTCTAAGGTAAGAAAAACTTAACAAATAAATTGTCAGTCATTTCCTCTGGCCTGCTTCTTTCCTCTTGTTATCGTAAGCGCCATAAAGAAAAGCGAATTGTAAGGTTGGAAGGTCGGGATTTTTGAGAATTGCCTTTGAGCAAAAGTTGACTCTTCTTGAGTATTGCTTTTTCAGCGGAGAGTTGAAGCTCACATTAGCTACAGTTTTAACATTATAGTTAGAAGATACTCCACGCGCTACGAGTCTGATAAGATCGTTTCTAGTCTGCTCTAATTTTTTCGTTAAATCATTTAACCCTAAGAATGATTGGCTGCTAGTTTCTCCTAACAGTGTCACCCTTAACTCAAATATAAAGGTCATGAGAATATAAATATTGATGTTAGAGTGTGAAGGGTTTGCGAGCAAAGCCTTATTTAGCAGAAGTTGATCAACGTTATATCTTGTTTGCAGCATCAGAGCGGGCGCCAAAAGCAACTGGCTACCAACCACAGCGAACGATGCGATTCCACATTCTAGACATTCATCCTTAGCTAAAAAATTCAACGTTCTTTAAAATGAAAAAAAAAGTGCACCCAACATCGAAAGTAAAACAAATGAAAGAGGAACGTCGCTTCCAACCATGGAATGTAACTAATAATTTTGACTTGGGGGTTTAAAAACGCTCTAGATATGAAGTACGTCAACTAAAATAAGGTGTGTTATTTAATCTTCTTTATCTTAACCAGATTGAGCCTAAGAGCGACCCTGTTCTGAGGCATTTTGTAATAATTTACGCATTTTGCACAACGGACAAGCCACGTAGTAGGGGCTGCAGGATTTTGTGCTGTTTTTCTTTATCTAAACTGGCTCGAGATCGGGAACGACCCTCTATTGCGAGTTTCTTGGTGGCGATGATGACAATACCTCAAGTATTCAACCAAAGAAAAAGATCAACGGACAGTTTCTGAAGTTAACTTAGAAGAAAATTAGCAACACAATTTTGTTCGCATCTTGCATCTCAAAATCATTGCTTCTGGAGTACTTTTTGCCAAAGAAGTGCGCGCTAGAATTTTATGACGATAAAATTTCTTTACGTGACAAAAGATAAAGTTTTCGTACTTTGATAACTTAGCCGTTTCTACCAGACCTGCCCTCAAAATTTGTAAACCCTAAAACTCCTCCGATCAAAGAGGATGAAATCCATGAATACGTTCGACTGTGACGAGTTTCAAGTTCAAACCTTAGGAGATACAATTTCACTCACGATGTTCTACATTCTACTCTACTTTATTACAATCATTTACAAGCTCTTTCCTTCACACAAGAAGGTAAACAGATATATAGACGTTTTGTCCTATCTTACTACATTCATGTACCTCTCCAAACTGTCCTTCCCTGTCCTCTTCGTAGACTCAATTTCCTCTATTTTGACGGATTCAACCTCCGATTCTGCCGAGAAGGAACTCAGTTCGGTGGAAGACCGCGGGCTCATTTCCCAAAAAGCGTTTAGTAATCGGGCCTAGTCTCTTCGATTTTAAAAATTTTTTGATTTTCTCATTTCAAGTTTTGTCCATCGAGTTCTTTGCCTTCGTAATGCCAAATAAGCTGCTTCGGCCAGTTTGCCGAATGGGTGAAAAACACCGGTCGTGAAATAAAGGCTACACACCAATATTGAAAGCTATCGCAAACCTTACGGAGTCACAGTAGATTGACAAAGTTTTTCTTTACATATACCATATAGGATGCTACTTTGGAGGCGAGTCCGGAATCCCGGTTCCTGGAAAACTGTTCCCAAACAGAGGCGAAGTGGGAGGTAGGACAAACGATGCTTGGCCGGCGGCAGTTGGTGAGAGTGGCATGCCTGACAGAGAGGTCGGAAAGGCGGATCGAGTGGGCGAAGACATCAGCGGATTCATCCCTGAGTGCATACAGAAGTATGGCTGACCATCAAAATTTTCCCAAGTGCTCATAATTTTCTTTGGGATAGTAAACTTTCAGGAAGACACACATTCCCCGCAATATCCAAGCCCTATTCAAGCGATTTGCCTAATTCAATTTACCATTAAACGGTAAAGAGACTTGAGAAATGGTTGCTCCTCACCATAGGCCCCCTCATTCTACGCGAAAACTCTAGCTCGGTAATCCTTATCCATCGTCATCATGAACTCGAGAATTCAAGACGACAAATTAGTAAACTAAATCAAACGACCGCGACACTAGTGCAGTGTTACAAGGCCCTTGGGGAAGTACTTCTTAGTGATAGGTTAATGAGGATGCGCCGCTGGATGAGAACGCACTTGGATTGACTATAATGGGGTTGCATTTTCAATAGGATTATTAAGAATTTTTCGGAATTTTTGGAGGTAAGATAATTCTGGTAAGCGGGGATTTAAAAGAGGAAGATTCGCGGCTACCGAAGCAATGATTCCAATTATAGGCTTGAAGGGAAATCTCTCTAAAAAGGATTCACATGAACTGCGATGCTTCATTAACTCAACTACGAGTGAGTTTGAAAAAACTGAGCAAGTTGGATGTGGACGAGACATCTTTTCTGTCTCCTTGCACCAGTACTATTTTCCCAATTTCCTTATCTGCGTTGATGAAATTTCTTGATACACAAGTGCTTCCTTTCCCCCAACTCCCAAATAATACAAAAGACAAATGATGGCAAAAGTGCCTATTTTTGCCTGCCAGGATCACCCAAAATGTGATATGGCGTCGTTCATGCCTTTGAGAAATACTTTGGAAGACTTGTTCGAGTGTACTTGAAATTAATTACAATCGAACGGAAGACAAACGGGCAGTAAGAACTGTGCAAAGCTCGAATCGCGGCAAAACAAATTCGTGTTATAATCCTGTCTTCTTTTTTCAGAAGTATAAAAGAATTTCTGCCACCCTGATAAGCAAAACTGTGATAGGACTTCGCCTGAAACTTTGAAGACGCGGTATCCCATTCACGTTGGAGGGGGAAAAGGGGATTAACGTTTACCGCTCTGAGCTTCAGCCATAAACATTTCCAAAGCTAAGAAACCTACCTGGATCCATTTCGGTATCATGCTCTAAGCCATCAAGCTGTGTGCTTGGACTAGGACTACAGAGTCCTGGGGACGAGAGAGGAGTGATGGTGGACGCCAGAGTAAGCGGTCCCATGTCTGGATCTACAAGATACAACACATCAACTTGTAACCACACCTTTTTAAAGGCCACGGCTCTCTGCCTACGCACGAAGTAAAAAGGGTTTGTGACCTCTTCGGCATGTAGGTATGCAAAGTATGACATTATTTATCCCTACCCAGTTCCCGGATGGGATGCCATTTCAAAGCTATTTAAGCCCACCACTGCTGATGGTGTAATAGGCGGCTGTGTCCGGAAAGGGGGCCGTAAGGCACACGAGAGCCTGCTCATAGGCAGAACAGACGCCGATAGACCGCCGGTAGCCTGCCTTTATTGAAACTCCTGGGCTGTAATCAGCAGCAATTACTTATTGGTCCTTCCAAGCGATGGAAAGGCTAATATCTATAAATAATCATCATAGTTCCGTCTACCTAAACTTACCAATCATATTTCTCACCTTTAAACATTTCTTCGTCGTGGTCAATTGGCTGACTCATCGTTTGATTCATTGCCCGGTCTATGGGCTGTTCCATCGCAGAAGAGGGATGAAACGTGGTCATTCCTGCTGGCATAGGATCGTCTTCGTGCAAGCTGGCGATGGAATCGTCCTCAACACCGGAGGGGATTCCCTGAAGGACACCTGATGGATCCGGAGTAGATGAAGAAGAAGCCTTTCCAGCTGGAAGGGAGAAAACCAGAGGGAAAAATAAAAAGATGCTTAAATAAATAAATTTCATTAACACTTACATGCCACAAACCATGCACATTTTTTCTATAAATGTTCCAAAATAATGTTGTCAGTTTAAGGGGCACTATTACTGGTAAGATCACATGGCCTGAGCACAACATTGGTTGTTCAGAGTTTGCCCTAAAACTAATCAGATCGCTCTTACGAAAACATCAACAAAAACAACAGCAATATAATTGCTGGGGTTATTTAGGTACTTTCAACAACATATCAAATATTTCGCCTAGTAATCAAGAAAATCCCTAGACTTCTCCACAGTTAAGGTCGGAAGTCGAACCACATTTTTTCCAAGAATTCAACACTTTCAAAACTCCTGGGTGTTCTTGGGTAAAAAAAAAAAAACAAACAAACAAACAATAAAAACAAAGCAAAAACAAAAAGAAAAATAAAACACCGATACACCAAAGAAAAGACAGAGAACGAAAATTCAATAAATTTTCGCTTACCTTGTTTACTTTGCGGTTTTGGTAATTCAAACTTCACCCACTGGTACTTCGTACATTTTCGCGCCCCGGGCAAGCTTTGAATCAAATACTGAATGGTTGGGTGAGAGAAACCGAAAAACTCTGGACCCGAGCCTGTATTAGAAGCGTCCCTACCCCTGCCGGGAGAAAAAATGTCGTAGGTGAGGCACAAACATTTCAAATTAAACGAGCTATACTGTAAGTGACAAAAGACGCAAGAAATCTTTAAGAAGCAGAGAGTAAGTTCTCAGATTTCTAACGCAACCTTCTCCTTTAACTTTCAGGATGAGTGAAATCAACAGCTTTCCACAGTCACATTTACCTGGCCTTATTGACCGCCTTCAGCACCACGCAGTGGCAAGCTGTGGCTGAAGAGGCTACGATTGGGTGGTCTGGATCATCTTCAGGACACATCTCAAACTGGAGGCAAATAGAACGAAGCAAAATTATGAGAAAGGTGGGATCACTTTAAGTATCTGAGCAATTGCAGACCTACCCCTCCCCTAACCCAACAACAACAACTGATAATAAGCTAACAGAATTGGGTTACGAGAGGAGTAGGAACACAGTTGCCCACATACCGACATTGATCCGATACATGCAACACAAACTACAGGTGTGTAAACATGACGGCTTTGGATTTTCAATAACGTTTCGAAAGTAGTTAAATAAAGACATCTTAAGTGTTTACGTGTATAAATAAATTACTTACTTAGTACTTACTTCCAGTCTGGGGGCCGTGGATACCGATCTGAGGAACCGGTCCAGGGACTTTCCTTGTTATTGCTATCTTTGGTTTCACAGTCAGCAAGATAGCTATAATAGTTTGAATAGGATAAGCGAAAGTCGCGTTGAATGTAAATTGGGCATACCTGCGGTCCGAATCCCCCATCCAGAATCTTGCAGGTGTAAATACACTTCTTCTCTGGATTACGCATACTCGGATACGTTCTGGAACTGCAATAGCCCACAGGCCAAATATAACGTTCAGAGTGGAAACCAGGCCGGTCAAAAACAATCTGTAAAGCAACGAAAGTTGTCACAAATTTACGATAAAATTAAGAACAGTGCCACCCATGTGCCGCACATTATCTAACTTGATGAGAAAGATGATTAATTTTGAGCTTGGTCCTTAAATTAACCCTTAGGGTAATTTTTGCTGGGTATCTGCCGCTGGCCTCTTAGAACTCCATCCCCACTAAAGTCTATTCTGTAGCCAGACCCCACCTTGGTCTCTTTTGGTAATACGGTAACAACTTTTATAAATGCGAATCTTTCCATTCTTAAATCCATACTTAGGGGAATTTTCTTACCGACTAAGATCCCTAAAATTTGTGCGACCCCATTCTAATAATTCTATTGACGAAGCAACCCCATTATGGTCAATCCAACATGCGACCCTATCCACGGGCGAATCCCTCATAGCCATGAAAGTATCCTTCCGGATAATTCTTTTATTTCGGACATCTCAGGGGGGTCTATCCATTACCAATCCTGTGTCGTGAATTTTGCTCACGCAGAGACTGAATTTCCTACAAAGAAAAGGATTCATCAAGGAATATAACCCTCATGGGGCAGCTCAGTCCCAGTCCCTGACATAGAAAGTACAGAGATGTTTCATATGACTTACCTCGCCAAGACTGTGAACTGTGAGACCCCCCAGTACAATGGGGAAAATGGGTTTGCCTGATTAAAGAGAGATAAAAAGGCCTGAGTACAAACATTTGAAACTTGATCGATATTCTGCACTGACATTGTTCATTTGTAAACACGTTTTCTTTTTGGTTCATTTGTTGTTGTTGCTTTTGTAGGGGACTTTTTACCTTTTGCATCCACTGCAATGGGCTGCACCTTCCTCTTGATGGCAGTGCCTGGCTTCTTTCTCTTAGGCTTCACAGGAGGAGTACCTTGATTGGCTGTCGTTGCGGCTACAGTGAAAGATAAAATATGTGAACCTTATTCTCAAACTGGGTAATGCTGATAATACTTAATTACCCTGTTATACTCTCCCACCGACGAAGCACCACAGTTTCTTTAGAAACTTACCACCTTTATTCTCTATCAATCTGAGATCTCATTATTTCTCAGATTACAGCAATGCTAACAGGCACATCAAATGTATGTTGTTTTATGGTACGTGGGTAGTCTCCATGTAGCGAACAGCAATTATCTTGGGCACATAATCAAAACTGTCATTCGTATAGTGTGATCGTTCTGATCTCGTGAATCGTACAACCCTACAATATCTGCGTCAACACAGCAGTCAAAGTCTCCGCATGAGCGAACGTTGTAATGACTAGATGGCGTGCTTTCAGGCCGTTAGAACAAAGTTGTCTCACAAGAGTTACAAACAACCACACAAGCCAGTAAGACACGGTGCTTTAAAAAGCGTTTAACTTTTCTGTTAAAGCTCAAAACAAAATGGTAAATCGACAGAAAACCCGTACTTGAAAAAGCTTTGTGTTCCATAAGTCTCAAGCTTTCCTTCTCCTTAGACTTTTCTTTCCTTCTACAGATATCTAGGTGCGTTTTAATTTTTGTTCGTTCATTTAGTGAGAGCGCGGTTACTTTATATGTTTTCCTTTGAAATTTTGGGCGGGAAAGTGGCTCACAGCCGGCCAGAGGTGATCCCCTCACGCATGCGCAGCGTTTGACCGCTGTGTTGATTAACACCCACCTTTTGATGATACTGCAGCAGAAGTAATAGCATTTGCAGCGCTAGGTGCGGAGTTCTCAGGTTGTGCTTTAGGCTTCTTTGGTTTAGCAGGCTTTTTCTTTTCTTGTCTCGCCGGCTTCTCCTTCTCTTTCAATCCGTCCTTACCTGTTAAAGAGGGGCAAACAATATTCATCTTCAAACCAAATTTTCTTTAAGTGTACCTGTCCCCGGTCTAACCATTTAGCACGAAAAGTATGGCCCCTCTTCCCAGGGGGCATAAGTAAGGGGAAATTCTGGGGAATCCGTATGTCCCCCCTTGCATTTGAGAGATGGTTTCATACTCTAAGTTTACAAACTTATTAAGGAGGCAAAGGAACGCGAACTCCCTCCCCCTCTTTGGTAAATCCTTGCAACGCCCCTATCTCCCAACATTAGCTGTGATAAACCAGACAAGACAAACCTGCACCCTCTGTAGCAGCCTTCTCAGCTTTTGTTGCCTTTCCTCCAGAAGACTTGGGTTCTTTCTCTGCCTTTGGTTTCACTGCGGTCTTCTTGGCCTTCACTTTTGGCGGCTTGGCCTTTTCCGCGACAAAAGGAGGGTACATCATCGGCGGTAACATGTCCGGAGAGAAGGGAGGGTACGGTGCAGCTTGGAACATCCCTGCCTCAGCAGCGGCTTGATACTGAAACAACCTCTTGAGAATGAACCTTTGAGAAAATGAATAAATAAGTGCGGAAATGAGTTGTAGATGCAATCAGGGCTGGTGACTACTTTGCATTCCTGTATTTCGTCTAGATATGTTTGTTTGGTTGCGATATTCAGACGGGCTGGCCCAATTCAGCTTTAAATCTGGTTTAAATGGGGTCTGTATAAACAATAACAGGGCCAGTCTACAACACCAGGAGCTACATGTACATTCCCCACTCTTTGCGAGAAGTGCGTGGGTTCTTCCCCAGCTAACCAGTACAGAGGTGGCGCAGGAGACGGGGCTTATGGATTATCGTCCTTTTCCGAGAAAATAGAATGTCTAAGAGTTTTCGGATGAAGTAGCAAAAGCAGTAAGTTATCTTCAGTAACTTTAAGACCCTGAGTGTTGGTCTGGTCTGAGGCTGGAACCCTCGACCTTCCTTGCGGCACTGAGTCCAGCGCTCCACAACATGAGTAAATCAAGCGCAGTAAACGGTAGAACTTACAGAAACCTTTACAACATCATGCCCCCTTTTATTAAAAGTTTGGTTAGTTAAACAACCAGTCTTAAGCCTGTGTATCTTTAAACTTAGCAAGAACAATAACAAATTACTTTACACAGATAAGATTTACCTTCTCTCTGCTTTTGCTCTTTGAAACTTTACCTCAGTTCTTTGAACTTCATCACATAATGCTCCATTTTCCTACAAAAAATGTCATTGAAAATAGGACCATCAGTGGATTTTGACAACCCTGCTAGGGCAACGCATTCTCAGATAGCTTTCGATACTCAGTTCAAAATTGCTCATGTAGATAAGTAATGGCCGTTTTTATGCTAGAGACGTTAAAGTTGTCTAAGACGTTAAAGTCGTCTCGAGACGTTAAAGTCGTCTCGAGACGACTTTAACGTCTTAGACAACTTTAACGTCTCTAGCATAAAAACGGCCAATATTTATGAGTTATTGACCATGCGTGAAGTCACGATGGCTGGATGTTGGCCGAGTACTATTTTGCGTTGGTATGGACCGAGACAAAGGCGAGGTTCATAAATACGCAAAAAAAGGACGAGGCTAATATCCAGCTATCTTGACCGAACAAGCTCGGTCAATAAAGAATTTTCTATAATTATTGCAAAAAAAATTTCGCTTAATTGAGAATGAAGGATGACTTGTTTATTTCGAGAGCCTGGAAAGAACGCCTGTGTGTGTTTGTAGCACAATAAACCCACAAAAGTCGTTTTTACGATTTCTTTGCTTTAACTGTCTTCTGCCGCTGTTTATGACTCCATCACCAATTCTGTCCAAAAATTACGAACTTGTAAGTACGCTCAACGCAATTTTTTTCTTACACGGGATCTTGGCGGGCAATCCTAGGCGACAAAGATGGGCACATCTTGCCCACTAGGGTAGCCAATCAGAGCACGGGATTCGCTTCATATTGCCCACGGGCGTTGCCAGTAATAAAATAAATCAAATAATGTCAATACTTACGAAGACCAGCTGTTTGACCAAACGTTTTATCCGAAGGTATTTTCTGTTGTAGTCAATGGGTTGTTTTGAAGTGGTAGTTTTAACAGACTGTAAATTAAAGAAGTTGTTAATGTTGTAATTGTTGTCGTTGTTTTTTTTTGTGTTGTTGTTTTTTTGTGACAGTTACCTCACCCAAAATCCTGCTTTAAAAGAAAAGTGTGTTTTTACCCCAGGTAAATGAATTACCATGTGTACCACACGTACACCTTTAAAAGTGTACAAGAATTGCCTTCTATAAAAATACAGAGCATGTACATATACCTGTAGTTTTTAAAGACAAATCTCAGAAATGTTAACCTGTAATTGACAATTTGCACAATATCTATCAACTTCATTTTTCTGCATCAATTTATTTGCAAAGCAAAAAAGGGGTTCATAACTTACACTACTAACCTCAAATTTCGTTTAGTTAGTAAGAATTACTGAATTTTGCATGTACATAAAACTTTGGTTGGTTATAGATGCAAGGAAAACTGAATGAACTTTTCTTTGATTTTTCTTGCACTTGAGCTTGGTGAGTGCAGAGCTTGATTAAATGTTCATCCCTTTTGGCCTAAAGGCTAGGTTTTTTCTTTTTTTTTTGGTAATCTCACCAGCTCAAGATAAAGGAAGTTAAATACATGTGATTATGGTTGATTGCTGATGCCTCTCAGCTTTATTTCAAACTCAGTCACCTGATCATCACCCTCTGTTGTCTCATTATCCATAGAATCATCATCATCTTCATCATCATCATCATCTTCAACCTCAACTTCCTGTGTGATTTTGTTTATCAGAATATTAAGTGTTAGAGGAGGCTGACTCAACTGCTGCAGTTTAACCCCAACTTGTCAGTTATTCTATACCACAAATTGATACTGGAACAACTGATAGACCCCTCATTGATATTTTTCTTTATTCTCATCACTTGTCTGCTTAATATTGTATTGATATTTTAAGGAAAATTTCTGTCTTGGTCACTCCAGGAGTTAAAGAGTTAATGAATAATTAGTCAATATTAATGTTATTAACAAAATAAAGAACTCACCATCAAGGCAAACCATCCAAAGCGATTATCAATTCTTTTAAATCTGGAGCTTTCACGAAAAGTCTATAAGGGAAAACTCATTCTAATCAATGAATAGAAAAAGAGATTGTGCATATGGATTAAAACATTAAATCCCATTTCTCACTACACAAATCCAGAAAAAGTTACTTTCATTGTGATCTACAAGTTATAAGTGAAAGAAGTTTACTTGCCTCACGATATAAGATTGATTCTAGACTGTTCAAAGCCTTTGATCTGGAATTAATCAAACAAACCTCAGTTCATGAAAGTTAAAAAATGTGTTAAAACTTTATAAATACTGTATTTCCTTGAATAAGCACCCACCCTCTGATGAGCACTCTTCCCCAAATAAGCCCCCATCCCCTAAGCTATAGTGTCAAACAAGTGCCCCTCTCAAATTAACACCCCCTCCCCCCTTACTTTCTTAAATAACAGGAATGCAAGAAAAACCTGTTTCTATTGCCACTTTATTCATAACCTTCTAAGCCTCAACTACAGTGGAATCAGAACTGGTGAATAACAAGGACCTCTCTCTATTAAGCACTCTCCTTAAAATAAGCACCCCTCCCTTTAGCTGAAATTTTAAATATGTGCCAGAGGTACCATGTTTCTAGAACACTGATATACATAAAAACTTCTGAAAACTGACATCATCAAATCCATCACCATAAAATTGAATTCTACAAGTAGTGTATGAGTACATTTAAAAAAAACATTTCTACATTGAAAATATGTATTGAAATAATATAAATATCTTTTGTTTTCTTCTCAAAAATTGTCTCGTTTTTATGAGCAAAGAAAAGGTATATATATTTGATATATATTTTCAATATTGCAACCTTTTTGTAGATATGTATATATATATATATATATATATATATATATATATATATATATATATATATATAATTTATACACATACACAGGTGAGAAAATTATGTTTATGGTGTTAGAGGTGGTACATATACATTGTAGGTAATAATTATAGCCTTTAGAGCACATGTTCAAAGAACTGACCTGGGTGGGATGAGCCCACTTTCTACAATTCTATCAGCAATATCTTTGACATGTAATTTTCCTCCACTTTGAAGCAAAATTTGCTGAAATCATAATAGCAGTACTTATCATATACAAGATTTCATTCATGAACATTTCCAAGAGCTCTGGTCACCTTTTTCAGCTTGAAATAACTGCAATGAATGAACCTACACATATTGAACTGCAGGAAATCAGTGAATGTCAGGTTCTCTAACTAATACTTTTGTTAAGTCTCTCTAACAGTTTCCCTATTTATCATAAATTGCAAGTTCTTCTAAACCCTTAACACATTCAATTCAGTATGTAAATTCTCTACAGTGCTTTCTATGAATTTCTTAAGAAGCTGACAAGGAAAAAACCAGCTTCTTTAGCTGCTGATCATTTCCTTTATTCTCATGACCTTAATGTTTGATTGGTGGGTAATATTGTAAGGAGAAATTACATGTAGATGCAAGTCACTCTTGGGGGGTCAAAGGGCTCAGCAACAACATCTGATTTGTGGGTGATGTTGTAAGAGGCTGGTCACTTTCAAAGGTCAAACAGTTAAAAATATGCTAAGACAGGTTGTAATAGAACCAAAATGCCTTACATGTTGAGGACTTTAATAAGACACCATCAAGTTTGTTTAGAATGTCTCAAACTCATTGATATGGGGTTGCGTTCACAAAGCTGGTAGTCAGCAGATGACAAAGAGTGAAAGAAAGAAGAGGGGAAGATTAACCCTTTCACTCCCAAGATCTCATTAGCAATTCTCCTTACTGTCTGTCATACAATTCTTATGATGTTAGTTCTGAGAATTTGGTATTGAATCAATTAATAATCCCCTAACTGGTATTTTTCTTTATTCTCATCACTGCTCTGTTTGATATTGTATTGATTTGGTCAGGAGAAATTTCATCTTGGTCAATCATAGGAGTTAAAGGGTTAAGAGCAAGATCCAATTCATGATTTCTAAAGTATTTATGCCATTAATAAAAGGTATAAATAAAAATGGTCAAAAAAGTTCCAAATTTGCTCACTTCAGATGCTCTCAACAGAGTTTTTTCAATGAATTCTGCCTTGGTGGATTCTGCAGCATCAGCACTATTCAAAGTGAAAAGTAACATTAGCTGCAAGTTCTCTTTAAATTGTACATCTTCAAGAAACGGTTCAAACACATTGTAAATACAATCTGTAGTTCCACTAACGTTATTTTCATCATGAAATCTACAACAAATTTACACAATGGACTGTGCCTCAGTCCATGGGCCTTTGATTAACTTGGGAAATGGGTGATACAATGGCACTAGCCTACAAAGCTTTCTGGACGAATGTAAGTGCTCGGTCGGAGCTCTTCTCTAAGATAATCGTGTTCAGCTTTTGACTGAAGTAAGTTCCCTCAGAATAGTAAAGCAAAACCATCCTAGCTTTCATTAGCACTTCAGTAACTATGTACGATTACCGAACTCTTACGAACTCAACCTATAGCCTGTAAATTGATGAGTGGATAAGACTGGAACCGCTTACTTTCGTATGTCTTCACCAGAAATGAACAGATGAACAAATATGACAAGCATTATAACTCGATTCCTCTGAATTTGAGATTTGCGGCCCGATTCATAAACTAAAACATTCACAAAACACGAAAAACACAAGCATAACACTTTTTTTAACTTACTATTCATTTTCTTCCCCTTCGGGTTGCTCGTCAATCTCTTCTGAAGTCATGCCAGAAGTTGAAAGGCCTGTATCAAGCGATGGAAACAGGGCCGAGGAGCCGATTTCTTCCGAACTAGCTGGAGACGGCGAAAACATATTCAAAGCGGTAGGCGATAACATCGTTGCGGGTGGTAGTGTAATGACATTTGTATCAACGAAAGTATTGTAAGAAACCGACAATGATGATATATGATAACACCAGGAAAACACAGACACTTAAGCCGCCATGTTTTGTTAAAGCCAGGCGTGGTTACAGAGGAAAAATGAGCGGAGACTGGGGATTATAAATTTGTTTAAAATTTATTTACTAATTTTACTTTTTTTTTTGTCTGTTTAGAGCGTTCTCATAAGAAATGGCCCTTTTCACGTACCATTCGCAACAGATTAGCATAACCAGGGTCTGATCTATTGCTATAAATCCTGCACTAGTATCGTCTAACTGGGGATTGAGGAGACAACACACTTTAAATCCAATCGCTGTGACGAGGGGCGAACGCTCGAAACGTTAGCCTTTAAACTTTTTACGGTGGCAAATTTACGTTTTCAACTCAGTTGATAACACTGAATTACACTTTAAATCAGTTGTTCACAGAAACAGAGGTGAGCCCGAAGGCTAAAGCCCCCCTACCCCACCCCCAAGAGGTCGTGTGGAACATGGCCCAAGTGAAACGTTAGCACAGTCAATTTAAGGATGTTTTACGAATTTAAAAGAATATCTAAGCAAGCAGAAGGGAAAATAAACGTTCAGAGTTTTTATTAAAAGGTAAAACAGAAAAGTAGAATTAAATGATTGAATATGTTCTCGGATCAAAACAGAAAACCCGTGAGATAAATATACACTATAATTATTATTGTTTTTAATCGAAATGATTTATTGTATTGTATCTTAACTTCACGTCTCGAGCTACACAAAAATATCATGGAGGTTCTTCCAGTCGCTGTCTTCCTTTCCTTCATATAAATGAAATAAACAGAACACTACGCGTATGATTTGTTCTAGAAGTTTTGTGCCAATATTGATATCACAGATGAATACTTTTACCGAGCACTTTCACTAGATGGCAGGTTGATGAAAATCCATGGATATTATTTTTTGGTCAATCCTAACATATATCCAAAAGAGTTTTTTTTTTAGTGAGGCGCTGTGCAATAAAGAATCAAAAATTCTCACGTAAACGAGGCATGACCCCTTAAAGAAAACACAAAGGAAATTCTTTCAAAACACTCAAATATGCGCATAACTAAAACGCTACAGTCAATTCGTGACCGAACAAGTTAACTCAAAGACTTTGGCTGTTAACTTAGAAACTCGCGAAGGTTTCCAAGATGAGGACAAAACCAGAGAGAACATTTCGTTTGATATCATTTCTCCTCCTCTTCTTCTCCAGTGTTTACGCTAAAACTGCCGCAGGTAAGAAGACTGCTGAGAAATGAAACGAGTTGTTGCTTTGTGTCGACCGATTCAGTGACATGTAACTTCGCTGCGCTCTTGTATTTCTCCTTAAAATTTTTTTTCTTGTTATCCGTTGCTCAAAATGAATCATGCTGAAGTCTGCTAACTTGTTTACCAAAAATACTGTTAACAGGTACAAAAATTCCGACAATTTTAACAGCTTGCTGATTTATTTAATCATTAAGATAAATAGTATTTTTTTTCTGAAGTGGTGAACCATGTTGGCTTGTTGACTGGCTAACAAATTGACTGACTGATTGGCTGTTGGCAAGTCAAGCACCTGGTTAACAGATCGAGTTATTCACTCCCTTGGCTTTCCAGTCAGCTCATATCATGACATACGTTGTTGTTATTATTATTAGTTATGAACTTTACTTTCATTCATTTGCATTACGATCGTCTTTCCAATTTCACTATTTCAAAACAAATTTGTGTTCATTACCAAACGCACTTCGATTTTCCAATGAAGGTCATTTAAAACAATTTTCCGCAAATTTCTATGGCATTTTTTCGGTAAGAATGTGAAGCTTATGACGTGAGTCAATAATAACAACTAACACCTCAAGTGGAACTAATCGGAAAAAGTTTCGAGATTATTCCACCACATGTTAGCTGAGACCGCATGTTCTTTAAATGCTTCGAAGGAACAAAAACGATCATTCAGTTCGATGAACAACTGCACGGTTGGAAGTCACACCTCTCTCTATGAGAATATTGTCCGTAAATTTAATTTTCATTATACCATACTTAAGTGTACGTTTAAAAATAGTTGAATCTAACCATACCCATAAGAAATGACCTTTTTTAATTTAATTTGTGAGTGAGTCGAGTGTCGGTCGCCCTTTGCGCTCTCCTCGTTCATAGTTCATATCTAAAGATGCCTCTTTCTCTGCAACATTTGGCTGTAGTTTATTTCGAGTTAATGGATAAATGATCGAAAAAATGAGATCAAACAAATTTTCATACCTCTGCATTTTGGTGGCCAGGATTGCTTTACTGTTAAAGTAGTCGTAACGGTTTCGAGATCACAGATTTTCACTATGTTGAAGCTAGAAAAATGAAATATGTCTTTCTAAGAGTATATAAGCTGCCCTGTCCTCTTGCTCTCGACTCATTCACAAGTTCCAATGTGCGGAGAAGAAGAGGGAACCTGGGGACAAGGTTGTAGGGTTTGTGAGGTGTCTGGGAAAACTTTTCTTTCTTCTCTCTTTTACTTAAATGTTGTTATCATGCATTATTTCTTTTGTAGAGGAGGATCGAGACTTGATAATCCTTTTGGCAGCTGTAGCTTTGGCTGTTCTCGCTGTGGCTTTGATTATTCTTGTGGTCAGTTGCTGTTGTTTCTGGAAAATGTAAGTAAATTACTGGAAATTAAGGGCCGGTTAAAAATTTATCGCCTAAGAGGAGGGGGAGGGGAAGGGGGAGGATTGGTTCTTAGGAAGGCGCGATTGAATTTTCTGGACAAATCACAAAACATTTTGAAGCAAAACCAGTGAATGTAAATCGAGATCACTTTGCTTCCAGTCCTTAACTTCAAGTGTTTCTTTAATTACAGGTTAAAGAAGAGAGAGCGTGGCTATTAGTAGCCATAGAAATACCAAATCGGAACTCTACTGCCTCAAAAACTTTTTGCTTGTGTCTACCATAGATTATTATACGTGCTGATATTGTAAAGTATCTGCTCAATACGAAAGATTGTATAATACAACTTATTTTACTACAAACTGTATATTACAATACCATATATGGCGCAACTTTTTGATGCCATCATTGAATTGGAACTATATCTAGTTGTGCTTTTTTAAGACTATCTTACGCATCAAAATAGATCAGCCTCATCACGAGTGAAAAACTATTGCAGAACTAAAGAAGGATCGTAGAGATTGTTCATTTGCTGTAATGCTACAACGTTTAGGAGAAATTATTGCGTGAACTGCTCAATTGTGAAAAAAAAGCAACTTAAACAATTTTGTGGATAGCAGGGCCGAGATTGCAAAATGCCGAGAGAAATGCCCCAGTAATGGTTGACCTCGATGAGTCCATTATTTTATCATAATGTATGCGAGAGAAGTCGACATCATGAGCACTATCAATTTACAGATGTTTTAATAAAATAGATTAAACTGAAAAACCTTGTTTCTACACAACTTGGAAGTAAAGCAACCTTTCGACTAAGAGTACTTGAACGCTAACAACAGAGCGGAAGAGTCAGCTTTGAGGGGGGGTGATCTCGAGAGAGATCATGGCCTACAAGGCATGTAAGGCGTAATTTTGGCGACTAGATGCTCACTATTTTCTCGGCATAAATCATAGCTGCCATCTTTGATTTTAACACCAGCGGTAGGTTGGGGAGAGAAAGAATTTGTACCCAGGGAGTGAGCGACGGACAAAAATAAAGAAAACAAAGTGACCAAACAAAAATAGAAGCAGACAAAAAAATACAAATAGAAAAACAAAACAAGCAAAATAAACCAAAATTAACTGCATCCTGAAAGCCAAATAACAGTCAAAGCATTATGCAAGTAATGCAAGTCACCTACGGAAGGCAAGGTCCATTACGATTTCCCCTGTAACCATTCTCCCCAACTCCTTCGTAATTAAACAGTGTTGGGTCGCTTTTAAATTGCTAGCTCTTACAAACTAATTCACTTACAAATTATAAAGACCCTCTGTTTCGAAAAAAAAAGACGAAGTGGAAAGCCTTTCTTGTGAGAATGAGTTTAGGAGCATGGGACAGGTAAAAAAGATTCCTTTCTCGATGTCAAGGGTTTTGCTCTCACTCTAGCTTTGGGTATATAGAAAAAGGCCTTTCTGTTGCTTTTTAGGAAGTGGGTCAGGGTGTTACGATTTCTAAGGACGCAGTATAATTATTAACCATTTAAACTCGAAGAGTGGTCAGCACCTAATTTTTCCCCACAGTAATACTGCTGAATCATTCATTAACCCTTTACACCCTAACATCAGTAGCCATACTCTCCATTCTGTTCTCAATACATTTCCTAAGGTGCTGACAAGGAGAATTTGTATAACAATCAAGAGCTTCTTAGTTGGTGATCATTTCCTTTATTCTCATGACCTTAATGTATGATTCAGGGGTGATATGGTAAGGAGAAATTAGACATCAGTCACTCTGAGAGGTTAAAGGGTTAAGTAGCTTGACAAATGATTTGTCTGAAAATCAAAAGCTTGTTTGGTTGGTGATCATTTTTCTTTTTTCTTGTCATCTTTATGTGAGATTTGGGGGTGATACTGAAAGGAGAAATTAGATGCTCATCACTCTTAGGAGTTGAAAGGTTAAGATCATGAGAACTAAGGAAATGATCACCACCCTAAGAAGCTTTGCTTTTTGAACAAATTCTCCTTGTCAGTACCGAAGGAAATGTAAAGAAAAGAGTACGAGGAATATAGATACTGATGTCAGGGGGAACACATCCTAAAGGCTGATTTAACTTCTACGAGAACTGTTCTTCCTCTCACCAACTGATAACCGACGGTTACTTATTTCTTCCCAGGACAATTTATACCCAGATACACCTTTGCTTAAAAGGATTTAAAAATTTTCCTTTATTCATAAAACTTTAATAACTCTATAAAAATCCCTCCTACAAAATCACCGAAGCCATGTGAAACTTATGCAGCCGTAACAGCAATATATTAAATTACATGTTAAACTCAAATTTTTCGCTACAAACTCTACAAAACAAAAGTTTGTTCAAAATAGACTCTGCTAACACTAACTCTTGATCAATGTACTCATAGGAATATTCCAGTACTTAATTTCAGTAGAGCACTACCAGCCTCCTGCCTGTGTTGTTAAATTAAAACAAAATTAAAACAGAGTGTTTGTAAAACCTCAACAAACGCAAGGTATATGTATGCAATATTTTAATTTTTGTTTTTATTTCGTGGAATTTAAACTGTTATATTTTTTTTTCTAATTGTCTTTTTTGTTTGATTTTTTTCTTAACTTTTTCTGGTAGTAAAGATTGGTTAAATATCAATTCTTTATAAATATGACATATAATTCCACACCTGTCAAATCATTGGTGTTTCCTATAAAAGTCCAGACCCAACAATACTTAACTGAGTCCATACCAAAACTGCTTTCAGAAATCAAGCCAAATTTCCGGTTGCAATTCAGAGATGACAACAATGTAAATATATATATTAATTTTCAGATTCTCATCTTGTCCAGAGAGTTTATAAAAAGCCTACAAAAATGGCTAAGAAATAGTAAAAGGCCTGAGAACTTTAAATAAGAAAGGTTCAATATGAACAGTTTGAGGAAACTCACTGTATAATATGCATAGCGCAGGCAAAAAATTGGATGAACGTGATTAAAAATGTCTTGAAGAATTGCTGTTTTGTGTTGCGAAGTGACTGTGCTTTACTTTTGAGAATTCGCATGAACGCAGAACTAAAAACGGTATTAAATAAGTGCAAGTGGCACCATCAGGATCAAAATTTAGAAAAAAAAGCCCTCTAGTATTTTAAACAATTTTTTTTCCAAAACAATTTTGCGATTTACGATGTGGAGTCCACTACATGCTTACAAAAAAAACTGTTTTTTCTCCTTTGTGTTGAGCCTGGAGGAAGTTTCATCTTAAATATGGGATATTTAACGAAAATCACTGAACTCTTAACTAATCTAATAATTTGCTAATCTACTTAACGTTGTTTTTTTTTCTTTGTGCAACTTATGCTTCTGAGAAATAAATAAATATGATCGGCTTACGTATTCCTTTTTCAAATAATAATTTTTAAACGTCTTTTGCCGAGTGGCTGCTTTGCCGAGTCCAAGAGTGTTGTCGCACGAATGACGGAAGCGGTACCATATTGCGTGACTCATCTTTCGTGACACAAGAAGTTTGTGGGAGTGACACGTGAATGGTGCTCAAATACAATGAACGTTAACCGGGAAGTTCTTGACCTCGTAGTACAAGATGGAACACACAGGCAGAAATTATCTGCTATCTTCAGCATTAAAGGGAGAGGGTTCTGGGCGCCATTTTGAATCAAACCATTTTCTTCGTTCTCAAACCTGAGAGACCTTCTCTACCACAACTAAGACTTCTTTTGGCGGCTGCAGCGGCGAATACGACAAAAGGCTTGCCATGCTTGCACGCATGCTTGTTCTCTTTGGCATATCCCAGTACCGATTTAGGTAAGATTGGCTCGCTGTAAGATGCAAGTTACTATTCAGTTTGTTGCACGAGCCGAGACTGGCTTTTGTGGAAGTTGTAGGAAGAGAGTCTGGTGAACGGATACCATCTAGCGGTTGCTCTTCACTGCTACCTTCGTAACTTTCTTTGGGCATGAGGACTGGCACGAGAAATAACAAACACGTTGCAACAGTGGAGCAGGCGCCAGCAACGTAAAAGGCGATCTGATAGGACTGCGCGAGATCGTAAATAACGCCTGGGATAAAAAATACGATTAAGAATAAATAATCTTCAAAAGGACATTAGAAACTCTCTTAAAAAAAGCACCTACATTTAAGCGAAAGTTTTCTCCCGTCGAAAACAAATGTGCCTGTAACTTTTGTATCGAAACCCTTCATCCAAGGGTCAGCTCCATTTATGGGACATTTTTCGAGGTTCCGACCGAGTCCCTCGACCGGAGGACCCGTACTTGACCAATATGTGAAATCAGTGGAAGTCAAATGCCATGAAGAATACGAGACTCCAATTTTTCTTACAGGGAAGATGATTTATGCTTTGTTACGATAGTGGTTAATTATCATAAAGATAATCCTGGTAAATTGTTTTAGTTCCGCTTTGAGAGGTACCCGCTGAGAACAAAGAGTGAAGGCGCAAATCAAATCAGTGGCCATGCGTTCAGCGGGAATTACTTAAGATCTTCTGCAGATGAGAACGGGTCCAAAAGTAACTTAAGAGTGAGATGATGGGATTAATTACCTGCTAAAGGAGGACCAGCAATAGACGTTATGGCCATGAAGAAGAATTGAATGCCAATTCCAGCAGCAACCTTGTCCACTCCGACAATGTCCGCGCAAAGAACAGCCAAAAAGACTACAAAACAACCATCAAACACACCAAAGACTAACATGTACACAACCAGGCCGGCGTAAGATTTGGTCAGCGTACTCAACGTATCGGCAACCCCAATGAGTAGCATCGCCATCTGGAAACAGTATAGTCGGTTCACTCTCGGGTGATCTCCGAGTTTTCCGAAAAGAAGTCGACCAAAAGTCGAGCCTACTGACATCATGCCAACCAGCGTGGAAGACTGCGAGTTTGGTATACCACATTCTTCGGCGTACGCCGGCTGTGCGAGTAAGAAAGATAAATCAGTGTTTAATGATGGATTCTCAAGACTGACTAATGAGCAGACATCTTGCTTCATCCCCAAATTAAACAAAAAGTAAAAAAAAAAAAAAAAAAAAAAAAAAAAAGGCAACTGCTCTCGTTTGCTAAGTTAACCAAAACAGTGGACCAGAATCTCCCACTTTCTCGCAAGAGAATGTTAACCCCTTACACCCTAACATCAGTGGGCATATTCTCCATACTGTTCTCTATACATTATCTAGGATGCTGACAAAGAGAATTTGTTTTACAATCAAGACCTTCTTTAGATCATTTCCTGTATTCTAGTGACTTTGATGTTTGACTCAGGGGTGATATTGTGAGCAGAAATTAAGTGTTTCTTACTCCTAGGAGTTTAAGGGTTCACAAAAGATGTAGAAAATGGCAGCTTGCAGACACTGCGTCCTGCCAAAGTCAAGTTGGCATTCACAAGGTTAACCTCCTGGATGTGGAGAAAGTGATAAAACACAGAGGAAAAATATCTTCCAAAAGGAAGGGAAGATAAAGGGCTGGGGCGGATCAAGTCCATGCCCGCGGTTATGCAAATTTGTCGTAAAAGACAGGTGCGTATAGCGTGCACAATACATTTCCTACGCATTTGACTTACCAAATGCACAAAAGGAACAAAATATCCCATCATAAATGCGCTCAAAGCTATGCACCAGACCAAGAAAGCTTTGTTCTTGAAGACAGTAAAGTCAAACAAAGGCGGTCTTGGGGGTTTGACAGCTTCTTCTGCTTTCTCATCCTTATGCTCAGTTTGACTGGGAACTCTGTAAAGCAGAGAACCGATGGTACATATACACAAAACTCCACCGAGCACCCTTGCCGCATTAGCCCATCCTAGATTGTTCACGACGAGCTGCATGATGGGACCCATAGCAATTGTACCTACGCCACTCCCGGCCGTAACAATTCCATTTGCCAGACTTATGCGCCTGAAAGAAAAGTATGAACAAAAAGTATTTCAAAACAACTTTAAGAGCATTAAATTTCTATTAATTACGTATATTCAGTTGATAGATAATCGGCCAAAGTTTAGCCGATTATCTATCAACTGAAAAATGATGTTTGGCCGCCGACCATCATCGATGAAAGAAAGTAGTTCTCATAAATTTTAATAATTTACCTTTCAAACCAATACGGAAGCGACCGAAGGGTTGGCAAATAGCTCATGCTCGCACCAATCCCCCACAGGACTCCAAACGTCAGGTAAAGTTTAGGAATGTCGTTGACAAACGAGGATAACACAAATCCCAGCACTCCTAGCAAACCACCAACGAATGCTACTACCCGACAACCAACGCGTTCACAGAAAGCTGACGTCACTGGCGCAAAGAGAAACATCATGCCCAAGCCGATTGAAAGAACCCACGCTGCAAAATAACAATAAAAAAGAAGTGAATTAAAATTGGCAAATTTCACAGGGCTCCTTATGGAACAAAGGGCATTAAGAATAATAAATCGAACAGCTTGTGCAAATGAAAATTAGTTTTTGTTCCACCAAATTCGTTGTTTGTGTGGTCACTCAACAATTTTAAAGGAGGCGTGACGTCGGAATATCAGACTGCCGACCGATGGATAATTTTATTTCATTCCCAGTAATGAAAAGTTCAAAAATATTTTATAAGTATCTAATAACGCAAAACGAATATGAATATGTTTCATTTTAGGTTTAACTAAGAAACCGTAAACTAGATCTTTCTTTACAAAAGCAAGCACTATTCCTGGTGCATTTTAGCCTACGTGCACCCACACCCTCCCCCCACCAAGGAAAAACGGAAGGATGGGGGGAGGGTACAGTTACACGACTACACCGGGGCTAGGTGCATTTCCATAAGTAGCGCAGGCGATTACGTGCATCGTGAGTGAGAGAAGAGCGGAAAGTGATGTGAATCATTGAAAGTGTTTGTTTATTTCTTTCCCGACGTGGTTTCCAAATCAAGGAGATTCACATTGCTACACGATCACGAAATTTTATATAAAATTTATGGCGCAAATTTATTTTTTTCCTTTGGTTTCAACTTCTTGATTCGATAATGGCAAATATTTTAACATATCCCACACAAAACAAGTAAGGTAAAATGTGTATTTAAGCGCTAGGAAAGTATCTTCGAATTTCGTACGTGCTCAAATTCCCTCATAAGACGACGAGGGGAGTTGCTTTGTAAACAACCCTCGTTTACCTCTAAGGAAATTCATGACTTATCCAATCAACGAATTTCGCTTGTCTCTACGGAAATTAATGACTAGTCCAATCAACGAATCTCGTACGTGCTCAAATTTCCTAATTAGACGACCAGGGGAGTTGCTTTGTAAACAATCCTCACTTGTTTCTACGGAAATTCATGACAAAATCAAAACATCACAACGGAACTCTCGAGAAAGAAAATGGATTGAAATCAATTTAAGATTAAGAAACAGCAAATTGCGTGGTTTTAACCACTAATGACGAGAAGATTAGAAGCGACAACGGACTGGTTTGAAGTGGTCACGTATAAAGTTTGCCTCACGAGATTAAAAACAAATCCCTAAGAAGCTTTTTCATGGTTACTAAGGAAATCTTGAGAGTCAAGGGAATTGTATCGAATGAAATATGCGAAATCTCAATAGATTGCTGGAGTTCCTCACGCACTAAATAAATAAGAATAAAGAAACATCATCATGTATATTCGCTATACTGTTCTCTATACATTTCTGTGGGCACCAGCTAAGAGAATTTAGTCAACGATCAGGAGCTTCTTTAGTTTTGGATCATCTCCTTGATTTTCAAGACATCAATGTCAACTCAGTGGGAACAGTGTTAGGAGAAATTAGATACTAGTCATTCTTAGGGCGGAGTAAGGCTTGAAGTAACGATGATTGACAAGGATTACAAATTGATACTAGGAGGTTAATTCTGTTTCGAGCCTAGTGATGCATGCAGCCGGAGTTAATCCCGGTTTCCACGGCATAAAACTACAAGAGTGTGGCTTTGTCCTCCTTAATGAATGCCAGTCCATCATAGGTTGCTGTGGTTAGTTTTACTGTTTAAAAACCAATGTAATCAATTTGTAATTTAAAGTTTTACTATTCTAACGCGCTATAGCCAATGCTACTGCTGAAAGATATGAAATCTTGCTGAGATAAGGCCGCAATAGCTGATGAAACAAAAGCTTTTCGGTTCACATGTGTGAAAGGGCTTCCTTAGGCGTCACTCAACGCATCAGTACAAACTCGACGGAGGGTATGCCACTCAAGTTTTCTCATTCTCTTTTTTCTTGTAAGGATATCTTACATTAAAGGCACCGTTTTCCGGTACAACTTATTAGAAGCGCTCTGTTAAGATTACTTCCCTCCTTCGCGGGTGTCCTTCGGGGTAAAAATTCGTACGCGCGCTAGTTTCACTAAAATCCTAGCAAACTATACGTCGGAGGAAAGCTTACTAACGGTAATTTACGATTAAGATAAAATTTAAGCGACTTTTCCTTTAAGGAAGAGTCAGGGGCCGGTTAGGCGTGAAAAGACCGAGGGTTCTTCTATTGAGTTTAGAGGGTATCAGATGCCGCAGCACGAGCAAAACTGGCTGAACAGTCTTATTCACAAGGCATCAATCAATTAATCAGGCTTTTTCGATATTCTGATTGGTTATCTAGATATCGGCATCTAAAGTTGCAGTAGCTAAAAACATGCGAGACGTGTTGCGTAAATGGACACCACGGGACGAATATTTCAAATAACAAAATTTCCCGACACACTTTCGTTTTTCATTATTCCTAGAATGTTTCGGCGGAATTTGAAGAAAATCGGTTAAATCTGTAAACCCTATAAATTCGCTCGAAGTGGTTGTATTCTTCCCAAAATCAAGTGCGAGATTTTAGCTCGTAAAGGTTCGCAATCAACTCACGCCACGCCAGGAGATTATCTCGCCTCCTAAAACCGCAAACCAATGGGACAACGGAATTTCATGGTGTCAATGACGATGGCTCAAGATTTCCAGGGTAAAGTAATTACCCCATTGCAGTAACGTTTTTTTTTCCCTCGATCCTTCCGTGGGGGGTTGAGGAGGACGACACAATAATAGGTAAAGTTGCCAAAGAAGGAAAAACCCGCGCCAAAAAAGGAAAAACCAGAAAATGTGTTATCAGATCGACAGACATATTTGAAAATTACGATTTGTAACGAGCCCCAAGATGAGCGGTTGCCGCGAAAAATCCTCTTGTGGATTCCTGATTTATTAACTCTTATTTGAAAATACGTTTTCCCAAATAACTCGGGTTCTTTTAAAGATATTAGAAAATGTTTTTATAGAAACGTCAGTTTAGTCAAATAAAAGAAAAAAATTGATTTCTTTGGCCTCTGAAGGTGGTAAGTAACCTTAAATGTCAAAAGGCTTTATCACAAGTTATTATTTTTTTTAAAATATCGTCCGATCCTCTCGCAAGTTAAAACTCAAAATCCCAGACGTGACAGCAATAAATCGTTCAGCTGACAGGCTAAGATTTGAGAGGAGTGTTGTAGTTTGTTATTTTGGTTAAAAGCTGAATTCTCCTAACCGATCTTGGCAAATATACCCCTGCCCCGCCTCCAACGCTTGCTGGATTATGTTCAACCATAGGGTACCCATACGAACAGTGTGATTGATGAGACAGAAAAAGCTGCTAAGATACCTCGGAGCTGAGTTCGTCTCGCGCTCGAGAAATATACGCAAAAATGAAGAGAGCTTCCTTTTCAAGAGTTAATCCGCCTGCTTAAATAGACCAATCTTGTTTTTGATATTCATAAATACTCTGCACTCGCCCAAAACGCAAAACAAAACAAGATTGATTGATTGGTGCTTGCAATTGACTTTGGAGCTTGCGGAAAACAAATATTTCGACATGTGTTCTAACATAACATCATTACGAAGTCTCCTGCAAAAAGCGGCAAGGTTACACTGGAAAATAACAGCTACACATAAGCAAGTTTCCAAAATTTATATTGCATGAGTGGCTTGTCTAAATAAATACATCTGTTGTTCTGACAAATGACAAATGCATCTTAAGGTACAAATGTACATTAAGTGGTCCTACGTTGCCATTGGCTGAAGGAACAAAGCTTTATAAGATTTCTTTAAAAAGCGCAAGTTGCATAGATATCGTTGCATCATCGCAAGTGCAAAGAACATTTTGCGGGCTTTAAGAAACTTGGATTACTGAGAATAATTTAGCTTTAGAATAATCGATCGTTAACTTTGCTAAAAACATAAGCCAAATGTTGTCAAAAAACTGTCAAGATTTGCATTTGATAATAAAACCTGGAGTTGTTATTGTTACATGCAAATCAGGGGCTGTTTTCGACTCTCAACGCGTGCAGGTTATATAACAAACCAAAACCCACACCTTTAACCAAAACCCGAAAATGTGAAGGTGTAAAACCAGGCAGGGAACAGAATTATTTCCTAACAGACCGAGAAATTACTTTATTCTGTGGCCAAGACGCAAGAAATGGGAAAAAGCACCAGCCAAGATGGTGAATGTTGTTAACAGTGCTTTGTTTTGAAGTCCGATATGCAAAGTTATATCTGGCCTTGTGAGAAGGTCAGAGAAAACAGGGTATTAGGGACTTAACAAAACCGTATTTACCTCTAACAGAAAATCGCAAATAAACGATGTTTTTAGGTCAAAAAGGGGCCTCCCCTCTTATTCATAGCAAGGATAGAAGTTGTTCTGCAGTGCGTTATACAAAAGCGAGCCGACAACGCAAATTGTACAAAAATAGATAATTCACAGTGTTTTGATAGCTCGAAAGACCCGTGAGCGTTATTCATATCGGCAGGAATCGGAAACTGCAGATTAAATGTCGCAAGAACGAAAGGAGTATATAGAAAGCGTAAAATGGTGCAGACGTAACCAGCAATCACAACGAGCTCTCACAATATTTTTTGCAACTGGAATGGGCAAAAATTTCAACCTTTCTTCAGCCCTCGGCAGAGACTCAATTAAAATTTGCATAACGCTAACCTTGGCTTTGCAAATTCACTTCCGGTAATTATTTGCTCTCAAGTTTGTTAACAAACGCAACTTTTTTTACCACATAATCTCTCTCTCCTTTCGTATCGTCCTTGAACCACTAGCGATTTGACAAGCAGAAAAAATCAAATACGGTCCCATTAGAGTACTGGATAATCTAATCAACAGCAGATGGCTAAATTTCTGACATCGAACCATTGCGCGTAAGATTTTCGCTCTCGATCGCAACTCAATTCTGCCGATGACAGCTAATACCGCAAGATGCCATCTCCTTCTATTCACAACGGATAGTTTAACTTTCGGATATATTTAAACTGTTAAGGAGAAACACTACGGATGACGTTGTTGATTCAAAGCAAAGAAATTATTGGCCGGTTTGACGTATCCGGTAATTTCGCGGTTCCTTCCAAAAAAAATTCGTCCAGTGTCGCAAATAATTTTTCCTCTTCAGCGAAATCGCATCAGCGTAGAAAGATGGGGTAAAATCCGGCGAATTTAAGACGAAGGAACTGACCACACATCTAATTTTCAACTTTTTTTTTTGCTATTTATATAAACCAGTCCCCTACCACAATTCAGATGACATTTCGAACGGAACAAGAGCTCTCAACAGCGTGTTCATAACGATAAGAGACTTACCGATCGTTTAAAGATTGAGGATTGAAGTCATATTAAACATAATTGCCACACTGTACCTGTTTCTCCTTTGCTTTGCTTGAATTCCTCTAACAGTGCCTTGTAAAGAATGCCGGTGTTGTTCTGTATTCCCAACACGACGAACTGAGCGATGAAACCGGCAAGACAAATGCTCCATCCCCAACCGCCATCCGGTACGGATTGGACCTGTATTTGCACTTGAACTTTTTCGATTTCTTTGCTTTCTTTCGTATTCTTTCCCATGATGTCGATTAATCGTAAAGTTCCTTTAAAAAGAGCGCTTCAAGGCCTGACGATGTGATGTTGTTCACCGCTCTCCCACAGCAAGCACTTTACCCCAACCGAGCAAATATCAGGTAAAGCAAAATTTTTTCTTAGCGCTAAGCATATGGAAACCCTAGATAATATATGACGTAACGAACACCCAGCGTTAGAAACACCCTGCCATTGGCTAAAAATATGGTATGATCAATTGACGAATGACAGGCAAGCTCTATTGTTTGAAATAACATTCGCCCTTCTCGAGAACGACGCTCATGAGTTTTTCATGTGACCGTAGATAAATACAGTGTGACATGTAATTTCCTATCTCGGCTCGATACTTTCTTGCTCACTGTGGATTCACAAAAAAATCTGGCGGACTTCGCATGCAAACAGTACCTGCTCTGACAGGCTTTGCTTGTGACGTAAACAACACAGCGCTTCAGTTGGCGCTGCCCTTAAGCTATGAAAGAAATAAACAAGTATAATTTTGAAAAAGCCTGGGCTTCTCGTATAATGCAAACCCATGTATGTTACATGGAGGCCTAGATATAGAACGCGGAGAGGCGAAAGTTCCAGAATAGCTATCTCCTGACTGGGGTTTTCCCTGAATCGCGGACTATTTTGAATCATGATGTCAAAAAAAAAAAAAAAAAAAAAAAAAAAAAAAAAAAAACTTTCTTCGTAATAAGATCCCTTAGGCAATAAATTATTCATAGAGTCTGTCACGAAATGAAATCAGTCAGCGAAAAAAGCAATTCTCCCTGATTCGTGAAAACCGTTTTCGGCATAATGCCCTCAAAAACTTTCAACCCATCCCTGATTTTCCGTTCGAGCTTTTCTTCGAGCTGCATCGCCGAAGAAATTCTATTCGAAAAAATTATGCTTTGAATAAAAAGATAATGATGTGCAATTGAAATATTGTGGGTTGTATTTCCGCATAGTGCGAGTAAGTGCAGTTTTACATTAACGCCAATAATCACTACTAATTCAGCGAGGGCAGTATATTGCTTCAGCCTTATATCATGATCAAGAACAATAACTCTTTAGTTTTGAATTAAAAAATTAGGAGAAAAACGTTCCTTTTAGAAAATTTATGAAAAGGTAAAAGAGGAAAAGTTGCAAAGAAAAAAATGAAAAGAGATAAAGTTTGGCCTTATCGAGGTTAACGTATACATGAACACGTTCCCCAAAATTAAACGCCGGAGGAAAAATAATTCACAATATTTTAAAATAAAATCAGTTCTCGTGATCGTAAAATTCAATTGAAAGTTGAATCATTATCGAGAACAATAATTCTTAAATTTTTGAATAAAAAATAAATTGACAGGAAACCGATCTATGCCAGAAATTCCACCTTTATAGGAGTTAAATGAATGAGAAACCCTCGTATTTCGTCAATTCTGGATTGATGTATTTCCGTATCAACACGTTCTGAAAAATTTAACGTTTGGGGGGGAAAGAATTCATCTTAATAGAAAGTAAAATTAGCTTTCGTGACCGCCATAAAATTAACTGTTTCTTGCATCAGAAAAGCACGTGGGCAGATACGGAAATTCAACATTTTTCGGAATACGGCACGCGTCTCAACTTGCCCCACCAGACCCCCCAAAGTTTATCCGCAGAAATTTAACCTTGAACCCAGCTAATGATGCAATTTTTATTTCACATAATGACTTAGTTCGAGTGGACGGAAATCAAACAAACGCAGCTTTATTTTTCCCCGAATGTTCCCGTGATATGTAAATTTACGCTGAGTAATACTTTTTCTAATCTCGGTTAAAATTGGACTGACTTTGATAAATGAATAATTTCGAGGAGAGCGTAAAAAGGGTATTTAGAGTGTTTTCGTGATTATTAGAAGAGATATATATTGAAATCACGTAAGACATCGTCGCTTTTAGTTTCTCTAATTTGGAGAGAAAATTAATATCAAAATTATTCCAGTACAAAGGTTAACGCTGAATTTTAAAACCGACAGAGAAAGCAGAAGACAAAATTCAAAGTCAGTTCTCATTATATTGATTCAATATCGGATAATGTTTTCCAAAAACTGAAAGAAAAAAAAAATCAAATGGGCCAGCAGTTTTTTTCCTGGAAACCTTCGGGTTGTTTACATGCATTTAATCTCAAGAACACGTCTATCGCTCAATGTTCCTCAGCAGAAAAAAAAGGTGGACTTTGCGTGCACGAAAACATGGTGATATAGGCGACTTCTAGGTCGGTTTGACACGGTAATCGACAAGTTCTGGAGGAATAAATTAAAAAGGGCATTTTATAGAGCTAACATAGGAAATACGAGAAGCTGAAAGTTTGATTATCAATCGTTTCGTAACCACTGTCGTTTCGTACTTAGCGAGGTCGAACCCAGTCAGCAGAGTCGTTTTGTATCTATACAAACAAAGGGTGTTTCCCATGATTAAAAGAAGTAAAGAATAAACGAAGAAACGATAATAAACGAATTTATTACCGTCGATAACAAAGGAATAAAAAATTACATTTACACTGGCTGCCATTGTTAAGAAAAGTCATAAGTATAAACGATAGATTATTCAACCGGGGAGGGGGTACATTTGATCGTGTAATCTGATCGTCCGGATGAGGGCAGTCCTTACAGGGACTATCGTCGGTGGTGGTGACTGAGCAACGTAGGGGAAAGTGATCATCACAGTTGGGTTGGACTTAATAATCCTACAGCTAAAACAATAAGTAGACCACAGCCATATCTCTATTCGTTTATTCTCATTTAAGAATGCCCAGATACTTAAAGTTTTCGTGTTGTCAATTAACCCTTCAACTCCCAGAAGCGATTGACATGCAAGCTCCTCCCATAAATATTCTTACATAATCCTGCAAACAGACAATGAGAACACTCATACTTATCAGCTAAAATATGTTATCTTGATCTAGCACCAAATTCACGTTACTAAATTTTAAGGAAATCTGTAACAGATAGAGGGGAGAATCAACAATCAGATCTTGGGAGTTAAAGGTTTTAATTCCACCTCATATTCCGTTCTGTCATGATGAGACCTCGATGAGATCATTTTCAAACATTCGGAAATTTTAATGCTGCTGAATAAAAAACCCGCAGTTATTTAATGACGTATGGCGTACCATAGTCAGAATTAAAACAAACTTTTCAGTCAAGAATGAATTAAACACCAATACGAAAACACTACAACTTGTTGCCAGAAAATGGATACGAGATAGAGCATTTGAAGCTACAAGTAGAAAGCTAGTAGACTACGAGCCGTCCCTTATTTCCGGCAAAGTCCGTCAAGCGAGTCAGAAAAAAAGTGGAAAAAATGGCCTCAGCGCGTCCTGCGGAACTCTGTGAGTGAGGTGCATCACTTTTCGTGCCGCAAAGCAGGGACTACTCATAGTCTCGGAAACAGCGGTTACAACAAGCTAAACTGGGGGATGAATAGATATATAAATAAATAGAAACCTAGAACTTGACTAAAAATGCCTAGAAATTGCACAAATTATGAAAAAAATAACTTAAAAATATCTTTAAACCTAGAAATATATTAATTTTTTCATGCTATGTATGTATATGACAAACACTTCCGCAAAGAGAAATCATTAAAGAAGTTGAATGCAATGGCGAAAAATGAACTCTCGTTGATATGATTATTTTTGCATCCCCGTCTGAGCCATTCCAAACATATCTCTATCCCTTTGCCTCCCTAAAGAGATGAACATGTATCTTCTCCTTGCAATATGTATACATTGACAAGCAAACAGGTTATGAGAATTGAGAAACTATCAGCTGATGCGAATTATCTCAACATAGGCCAAGATTTTCTGGACTGGCATTGGTGAAATTGTGTAAAACTTCAATGGAAGAAACCTGATCAGAATATTGGGGTTCTCTTAGGACTGGACTAAATGTTACACGCAATTTTTCATTTGTCGAAAAAAAACCCATTTTGGAAAGAGCAGAGTGCTCGGCTATCTTCCTAGAAAATCTGGCTTGGAATTTTAGAGAAGGCCATCATGTAAACTACAGAACAGGTTAAGTAATCGAACGAGAAACCATAACTGCAGGCTAAACAATTTCTCTAGGAGACGCAGTGGACTCCGGGTCGAGAGGTCTGGGTTCGAGACCAGGCCGGTTCACCGTGTTGTGTTCTTAGGCACAACACTTTCCTATTAAAGTGCCTCTCTCCACCCAGGAGTATAAATGGGTACTGGCTAACTGTTGGGGAAGCCTTATGAAATGCTGAGGGATAATCTTGCGATAGATTAGGTTATTACGAAGGAAAAAGAAAAACAAAACAATTTGCACACAACTTCATTTCGAAAGTGAGCGTTTTTGAATCTCCAAAGCGGTGCATGAAACACATCCAGACAACGCTGATTTTTTCCTTTTTCTCCATTCAATCCGTGTACGTGCCTTTTCATGCAAAACTCAAAACGTTTGATGCTCATATCATTTCTAAAAATTCATCACAAGAATTTTCCCTTTTTCGTTCTTGAAGCCTAGAACAGCTACCTGATGACTCGATGCCTTCCACTGTCACGTGTATTTCTGTAGAATATATTCTGTGTTTGTTTTCAAGTCCGCTATTCGTCTGTCCAGAATTCGTTCCAGTTCTTTTTCCCGCCGATTTTCCTCCGCCAAGAAATCCGATGTAATAGAGGATCGCCTGGCACCAACCGGGGTGGCCGCACGCTGAGGGAAAAAGATGACAGGCGAACAATGAAAAAATAGAATGAGCTGAATTTTGTATGCAGGACTCGTACGTTATCAAGCCTTGATGGCTACGAGAAGTGATCGACATGAAAATTCACAGATTCAAATTCAACATCTATAGAGCATCTAGCAAAACATTTGGAGGAATAGACGAACTCATTAGTTAGAAGGCATTATCCTGATAAGACATTAAATTCTCCTAACTTATTTACAGGGAAATAACTATCAGTCTGGGGTAGAATTACAAAACATATCTTAACAGTTAATTGAAGGATTAAAAAACAGCCTGACTAAATTTTCTAGCAATCATTTAAGAATGACCACAGAATAAAGAAAGGTGGCCAGAATAAAAAGCATGCTGAATTTTTAAATAAACTATCCTTTACGAAAAAATAAAAACCGTTTACAATTTTCACTCTCTGTTTAACTCCCATAATTCATTTTTCCTTAAATACCTCGGTATCTGAAGGACCTGGGCCTGCAGTTAGGTCAGCGTACGTCAACGCTTCGGTGTCTGTGTAACCGCTTGTGGTGCTAGTGTGACTTAAATCAACGGGCCTTCTAGGGACATATTCAGGGAGGACCTTGCTGGTTGAGGACATTAAAGGATGTGGTACACCTGAAAGGATTGAATTAAGGACCATTCACAAGTGCCAAACAAATCTTTAAGATGAACTGAGAGTAGAAACTAGAGGAAGAGAGGATAAGCAGTAAGCACATGGGTTATTTCTACACTTTTTTCCCAAAGAAGCAAAGTCAATAGCACAGGACGACATAAGCAACGAAACGTGCCTTCATAAATCAAGCACAGGTTTTCAACATAATGAAGTTTATTTGAAAAGAAATCGTTACCACTGTCTCGATGCTCCGATGCCTCACTTTTCAGTCGTTCGTTTTCCATTTGCAAACTGTGTAGTTGCGTTTCATATTTTCTTATCGTAGCTTCAAGGCGACCCTCTAAAGATGCCACTTTACGCTCAGACTCTGACCGCAGCTCGCTATGGCGTCTGTTAGAAAGGAAAATGGAGTTACTATACACTTGACACTTTCTGGCAAACCGACTATCTGATTAGCTACATAGCAAATGAGACACTTAAGTGAAAAGACTACAATTGTGCGATGTTCATCTTTTCGTCGTCATGTCACCTCGTCTGCTCTTACTTACCCCTTTCTCGCACAAACAAACCAAGTCTTGTTACAAAAAGAACAGCATTGTTTCGAGAGACAATTCTAACCACGAAGATTACAAGTTGACATTTAATTAGCGTGACTGAGAGAAGCGAATTTATGCGGCGTGATTTTTTCCTTTCTGCAGGAACTTATCTGTGCGGGTTGCAACATCCGCAAAAAAAAATACAAACAAACAAACAAAAAAACCCGCAAAATTTCATGCTACACACCGTTTCCTTTCAACCAATGACCTTACTCAGCACATGCTATTACTCTTACCACGGAAAGTCTTCCTCACCTGAACTCGTTATCCTTGATGTCCGCCAGTACATCTTGATTCTTTTTCAAAGCGTTCCGATACTTGTCTTGATATTTAGCCTCCAAAGTTGTTAGCTCTTCGCGGAGCGTGGCTACCTCTGTACGTAAGTTTCTGTTATCGTCCTAAACACAAAAACGGGAGAGAGGAGTAGCCACGGAGGTTTCAATGGTCTACGCTCGGTGTATTTGGACGAGATACAGGGAAACTGGTTTGAGTTAACGGTGATTAATTAAGATAAAACCAAATTATCTCACCTCAAGTTGGCCAATGAGCTGCAGATTGCCACTGTAAAGGTCAGATAAATCCTATAACAACCAAATGCAACGATCGCATCATACGGTTTGAATATTTGAATAAGTCTGTATTACACTCTACAGAGTCTACATTTAATAAATGACAATTCAGAGAAAGGATTTAAAGAAATTCTCCGGTTTACATGTAAGAAAACATTGTTGAGTCACCGTTAACTGATCATTAAGTGCAGTGTCGCGCAAATGTCTGTTTTCAATTCGCAAAGCTTCTAGCTGCGCGTTCGTAACCTAAGAAATACAGAAGAAATGTTGATGAAAGCCCGTAATTAAATAGCGAAGCAAACGAACTGTTGCACAACAGAGCAGTATGTTGCGATTAGAGTCTGTCCTACTCCACTGGCTTTCGTGGGCACGCACTCCACGTGCACTCCACGTGCACCCCACGTGCACTTCACGTGCACACCACAAACACGCTAATGCACAAAGCTTACCTGTAGTTCAGCAGCTGCTCTGTCGTGTTTAGCTGCGGTTTCTCGAAGATCTTTTTCCATTCGTTGAGCCCGTTCCGTAATGGATGCCATTGCAGAGTCCCTAAGAATAAACAAATTGACATAAACCACAAGAAGGCTGCAAGGCATCTGCAAGAAGGATATTTTATTTCAGGGGCGGCAAAACACGTTGGTCATCATCATCGTTGTTAGAAAGCCATGCATTTGGGAAGTGGGGAGAGGAGAGTTATGCAAGATATTATCAGAAATGAGTGCGGGCTGGGGGGCAGGGAAATCGGGGCACTTCACTATCACATTACTGGCCTACGAGATTGTATTATTATTATTTATTAATCTAATTAACTTTTTATTGGCAAAGTGGAAGGTAAACAACGGTAGCCTTCCAAACCCCCCCCCCATTCTGTTGTTACGCCCTTCCGTTGTTGGACCTTTTCCCATGAATAATAAATAAAATTTATCGTAAGAAACTGAAATCTGTAAAGCAAAGTTTAAAAAAAAGCAAGTTTTCTCTCTGATATACCTATGACTGTACGCGCGTGCTATTTGTAATTTGCACTTGTGGTAGAACTTTGCACTTGTTTTACATGAAAAACGCACTCGTTTTCAGCCAATCAGAAGCGCACAATTTTTTTCAGGTAAATTATTACTACAAAAACGAACAACGGAATTGAGAAGAAATCAATACAAGCAAAAGGTACCTTTTGTGGAGTTCAGCAGTCATGTTGGCAATCTGTTCCTTCATTCCCTCCACTTCAGCCTGATGACCGTCGTCTCCTGATGAAATTCTCTCTTTCAGCTGAAGATTGTATTAAGTATTTCTCGTGAGTTACAATTAGCCAGAACTTTCGTTATTTGACTAATTCGATAACAAAGAAACCGAAATGGGAAAGGGCCTACTCAGTATTTTCGTTTTCTAGAGCAGATAAAGCGATTTTGTTATCTGACAACTCCAACTCGCGGTTTGTTTTACAAACTTACAGAAAGACTTCTAGAAGCCCTTGTGTCATTCAGTTGGTTTAAATTGGTTTTGATGTTGGAATAACGCTGCCAAACGGGAGATTTTTCATTGTTTACTTCTATAGAGCTCGTCAGTAAAGAAAACAAAACAATACAATTCAAATGAGTTAAAGTTTCAAACTGTCAAACTAAACTCCACCACTTTAGTTTTTTTTTTTTGGAAAGCCGCCTTGTTATCGAAATAATTTCCTCTTCGATGACCGTAGGGAGGTTAGAAGCAAGGTTATTTCAATCTTTTCAGTACCAGTTAAAACTTATCAGTTATATTACGAGCAATCCCTTATTTTTTGCGAAGTCTGTCTCGCGAGTTAATTGTTAATTTGTTAATTGATGTCCGCGTGTTGCGTAAAGCCCTGGAAGTGAGGCGCATCAAAAGTAGCCTCGGCGCGGGGCAGTGCGCTAACCTAATTTTTTTTCGCTGATTATTTTTAGACGCGCTCACGCAACGGATGTAGCCGAAAGAAGGTTCTCATAAGCTACCAATTAGTTGCTATTCACGTCTAAGAAACTTTGCTGCTGCGTCGGTGGGGTTTACAAGATAATCTGGTTTTATCGACTGAGTTGATAAAGTAAATTGGCCACCGTTAGCCTTTCACTATTCCCTTGATCCGACGAAGGACAAACGATCGAAATGTCAGCTTTAGAAGCTCTTTACGGTGACCAATTTACACCATCAGCTCAGCTGATAAAACTAAATTATCTTGTGTACACACTAGTTTTGTTAAGTGCCTGGTTGTCATACCTTTGAATTTTCCAAAAGGAGCTGTTTTACGTCATTGTCCTGAATGAATTTCACCTCTTCTTGCTATAAGTTTAAAAGAAAGCATCCGTATTAACCCCTTACCCTCTAACATCAGTATGCATATTCTCCATACTGTTCTCTATACATTTCCTAATGTGCTGAAAAGGGGAATTTGTTTCATAATGAGTAATTTCTTCCGTCGGTGATCATTTCCTTGTGTGATTTAAGGGTGATATTGAAAGGAAAATTTAGACTCCGGACAATCTAAGGGTTCAAAGGTGTTAATGAATCGCTTTTTAACCTCTCCAGATTTCTTTAGCAAGACATCCAACTCATCGACTCAAAGACCTATCCCAAAACATGACACAGAAGTAAACATAAATTACAGCGTCAAAAGAATCCCGTACCTTCCTGCAGAGTTCAGCTTGTAGCTTTGAAATTTCATTCTTGCTATTTTCCAGTCTGGTTAAAAGAAACATACGTAGTTCTTACATAAATACTGACAGAAAAGTAAGAAGAAACGTAAGTTTGCCTTTTTTTGTAACCTTACTTTTGATTAAGGTGACTCAGCTCATCCTTCTGATATTGACCGGCGTCAAGATGCGACCTGAGATCAGTGTTAAACAAAAAACAATTTTAAAAGAAATTTTAAAAAACGGCAAAGTTAGAGTGTATACTGTAAAATACCGCTTATAAGCCTCCCACTCATAACTCCCCTTTTATGCCCCCCACTTATAAGCCCCCCTTTTATGTCCCCACTTGATAAGCCCCCACCCCCCCCCCTCATAAGCCCTCTCTAACTTTTCTTGTTTTGAGAGATAGGAACTCTGCTGTGAGTTAGACATCAAACTTTTTTAACAGGAGAGCAAAAATTAACTTCAAGGGAAGAGTCTGAACTTCAGCTTTGCTACGTTCCACTGTTGCTTGTGTTATTAGTTTTATTTCTATTCCAAATGAATTGAAATTAATTTGATTTGTTGTGACGTTTTAAAGCGTGGTCAAAAACCAGTAATCTGCACTTTAATAGCTCGTTTCGAAGCCCTTTTTCTGGTCCACTTGTAATATAAGTGAAACAATCGAATAAGGCGTATGTCTTGAAAGTCAATAGAAGTTCACTTACTGTATTTCCATCCTGCTTGTTCTGAGATCTTCCTTCAGTCTCCTCACCTCAATATTTTCTGTTCGCTTGCCCACCTCTTCAAGTTGTCTGAAAGTCAATGAAAACAAAACTTACTCAGACTTTCAACACTGTAATGGCATGACATTTCCCATCAGAAAGAAACGCAAAGAATCTGTTGGTGTTTACCAACTATATTAGCTATCAACATCACTGGTTCGGGCTGCACAAATAATGTTGCAAAAAATACAAAATGAGACGTCAATGTCCATGCGAGTCATTCTCGATTTACTTCAAATGATATTTGCCAAAAAAATTTATCGAAGTTTTGAAAAAGGCAGGAGACATTTGATACATAACAATTTCTCTGAGTTTATGAACTTGACGTTGCAAGGGAAATTTGGTACAGCGGCGGAGAGTGTGAAAAGTTGTGGACTGTCTCCGATTGGCTGCATGTACTTCTGTACATGCGGTAGCTCAAAATTGAGATGGGCATATGCCACTCTGCAAAATACCATAAACTTGTCTATCAGTATAAATCTTTTCGCGTACTCTCGCGATTTCTGGAATTTGATTGGCTACGCAACTCGGTATCTATTCCCTGATAGACAGTGAGTAGCCTAAAAATATGCAATCTTAAACAAAACTAAACACGAATACAAGAGTATGTCTTGTTTTTGAGTTTTCAGCTTGTAATAGATTCATCTTAATACTCTCTCTCAATAATTTCTATGCATGATAGTTGGAAAGAGGCGAAGATATCGATAGCTCATAAACTACGTTTTAGATTGGCGGGTTTCTTCCTCATCCTGCATATCAATAAAAGTATCAGTGACTGTGTTTCTCTGGAGCAATGAGCTATGTCCTTTCTCGAAACTATTTCTGTAGAATTGTACCTGATGATCTCATCTTTCATTATCAAACTCCCTTCCATTTTAGACATGTCCTCTGAGTGCTGCCTTTGGTCGTCCTCTGCTGCCTGAAGTCGAGGAAAAAAATAGGTCTGCAATACGTACATAAACAAATCGACTACTGACAACCTCGTCTCCTTTTAACTGAAAGACAAAGGCCGTAGCGCAAGGCAAGAGGAATCGGCTTACGAAAAATTCCTTGCACCGCATCAACTATCAACTTGCCTACTCAACCTTCTGTAAGCAGCAATAATAATAATAATAATAATAATAATAATAATAATAATAATAAGTAGTAATACAATAATAAATAAAAAATAAAAACCTACTCTTATGAGATCATCTCTTGATTGTAGCTCTAACCGTAGATGGGCATTTTCTTCCTCAAGACGCTGTGAGAGAAATAAAAATACGAAAAAAAAAAAGAAAGAACGGAATTCATTTCTCATATGTACGTGGCGCATAAAGTAAAACGGGAAATATTGATTAAAGACGTTTGGGAGACCAAGGCTTAACCTTTAATTTTAGTTTATTAGTTATTTCTCCCCTCAAGCCACGATGCCTTTCCTGTGAATGAGTACTGAGTGTTTAGTCATCTATTAAACCGACCCTTCTAAGCTCACAAGCCTGACTCCTCATAAAACCTGTTCTTCTGGGTAATATGTTAATATTAAAAGAAGGAGTTGAAAGAAGGTAAACACCATGCAGCTGGGAAATAATACTACCTGAAGAGATGATCTTGTCTTCCTGAGTTCGTCTTGCACCTTGGCAATATCAGAGGCTTGCTCTCTATTGGATGCAAGAGCTTCCTCCAATGAACTCTTCAACCTGACAAGGAAAAAAAAAATTTTGCTTCAAGTTGTTGGACGTGACTCCCGCGAAGGGTGGGGGAGGGGAGAAGGGAACGGGGGGGGGGGTGAAGAATCACTAACAGATAGTACAGAGAGTAAACTTACTGCTGAACAGTATCCTCAGAATCGTCACATTCACCTTTAGCACGTCCAAGCTAAAATCAAACAGCAGTACAAATTAATGTACACATCTCTATTTCGTGTACACGCACATACGTGCGGTGAATGACAAAAAGATAATTAAAATACACGCATTTGCGTGCGTACCTCTGTAGGCGTGTAATTTTTCTACCACACGCGCGTAACTACACGCGCTTTCAATTCTCACGAATTACACGCGTTTTACGCCCGTGGGGTTGCTGCAGTACTGCAGTACACGCGAGCGGTACTGTACATGCAAAAATTTACTCTACCGGAAGTACACACCACTAAAACATCTCAGCCAATAAGTTCTGAAGAACATATCAGCAAAGATTCTTTTGAGAAAAACACCTTGTTGAGTCTTCACCAATCTACTCTTAACATGAATTCAAATGCAGAAGATAAACAGTTTACATGACATACCTGGGAATGCAGCGCAGCCATCTCTTGTTGATGGTCACGCTCAAGGTCTTCCATCATCTGTCTTCTCTTGTTCAGCTGTGCTTGATATCCTAGTAACTGTTGCTAAAGTATTTATTGAACATATGCGTAAAAATCTTTAAAGAAATGAAGATGAAAGCGAACTTCGCAGTAATGAACACTACTTAAGCAAAAGTGAAAATAAGGCCTGAATTTTTACGGGATTTAAACCCATGGCCTCTGCGATACGAATGCAGTGCTCTACCAACTGAGCTAACAAGCCACCTGGGAACTGATCATTATGTTGGCTAGTAATAATTGGTAGTGCAATGCACTGGTATCGCTGAGGTCGTGAGTTAAAATTCCGTACAGACCTGAATTTTTTTCAGGCCTCATTTTTATTAATGCTTAAGTAGAGTTCATTACGGCGAAGATCGCTTTCGTATTCATTTCTTAAAAACCGCAGTTCACATATGTGATTTTCATGTATTCACAGTCAATCGTAAAGAGGAAACGTCATCTAAAAAAAATTCACAAAACAATTTTTTTTTAAATTATGTCATCAACTTATACATCGACATGATAATTCATATCCACGGTAGTAAATAGCGGTTGAAAAAGACTTATCTCAATTAAAATTGTATGACTGTTACGGTAACCCTATTGGGACTAATTTTCCTGCCCGTCAGTGCACTAAATACCATTCAATTGAACTGGATTACAGGGTGTTGAGGGTGGGCCCCCCCTCTCTTCCTTTTCGCTACCCTCGATAATGTGGTACACAAATTCACACCTGCATCAAATCACTCTTCTCGATCAAAGCTTTCTTCTGACTCTCCAGCCCTCGGATGCGATCATCTCTTGCTTTCTTTCCACCTTCCAACTCATGCATCTCGGCTCTGTATTCCTACAGTTTGTAATGCACACGATTATTATGTGTTTTCCCGTATCTGGCCTTATAGCAATGTCTACAAACAGCATTAAAATGTATGGAAAGCCATAATGGTGAACAGGGGTCAATCACAATTTTTCCCTACAGTGGGAAATTTTACCTGTAGTCAAAATCATAAGGATATCTTTCTATGGTCTACAATCGGCAACAAAATCGTTGACACATTGACCTTTTCAACCCCTATTGATTCAATTTTATCTCTTTTGCCCTTGTTAAGTTAACCTATTCCCCGCCCCTCTCCCCCTCCCCCCCCCAAAAAAATGTTGTATCGTGATTCCATGAACCTTAAGCTTCATACAGGCGACAATGAATGGGTAGTGGGCATACTTATGGTCCCCAAGGCTTTCGATATCTAGGATTTTTGGAAACAGGAGAACATTAGGACAAGGAAAAAAATCCCATCCAGTATTTCTTTCCATCAATTTTCCAAGGGTTATTTAATATTCAACAATACCTCTAATCTTTCCTCCAGTTTATCCATTTCAGAATCTCTGGACTTCAGATCAGCTAAAAGCTATTACACATAAAGTAAATATAAAGTTATGTTACTAACGGCTTAGCAACTAACATTCAGGCATTCATCTTGTTTTAAAAAATTTATGGAACTCAAGTTAATAGGGGCCAAATCTACAAATACACCTGTAATTGAGTAGTGAACTAAAACTACTGATTGAGGACAACATTTCAATGTCCTCTTGTCACACTAGTTAAACTGTTTGACTCCTCAGAGTGACTAGCATCTAATTTCTCCTTACAATATCACCCCTGACTCACACATTAGGGCCATGAGAGTTTAGGAAATGATTGCCAACTAAAAGAGCCCTTGATTTCTAAACAAGTTCTCATGGAGAACATGCATACTGTACTGAGGGTGTAATGGGTTTAAGAGTGAAAATTTCTGAAGATTTATGTTCTCCCATGACAGATTCTCTTACTTCTCCTAGTTTTATATGGACTGTCTACCCATAGGGATACACAGAGCCAAGCTATGTCACAGACCTCACTGTAAACTATACCTGGTCTCTCTCCTTTTCAACATGCAAAGTTTGTTTGTTGCTTTTCTTTTGAAGTTTTTCATGTTCATATTTCAGATTGTCAACCTGATAAAGCAATTGGTAAAATTACAGTAAGCTACAAATAAAACCCAAATGTTACGAAAAAATTAAAGGCGCCTCATACAATCAAAAGTAATGTATAGTTTCAATCTTTTAAAATAAAAAAACTTGAGGGGGGCTTAGATCGGAAGGGGGGGGTTGGGTGGTTCGGGGAAAGGGCTTAAAATATGATTCTTTTATGTTGACAAGTAGATGGGCCTATAACAGGAGGGGGCTTCTGCCCTTCTGCATGCTGCAATTGGAAGGGGGGGGGGAGATGAAGGGGGCTTATGAGCAGCAGTTTACAGAACCCAAGAACTAACCTCCTGTCAGTAAAGGCAGTATCACAGTGAGTAGTGTGGTGCAAGCTTTCCTTCCTGGATGAGACCGAGGCAAGTTTTAAGGTATAAAAAACTCCCAGCTGATACACCTATGGTAGTGTTCAGGGTTTATATTCTCCTTACTACTGTGTGACCTTAACTTTTTAACCCCAAGGAGCGACTGGCTTCTTATTTCTCCTTACAATATCACCCTCAAACTGAATGTATGGGTGACATACTTGAAAAATGGAAATGATCACTAATCTAAGAAGCTCCAGATTTTCAAACAAATTTTCCTTGCTATTACCACAGGAAATGTAGAGAGCTTAGTGTGGAGAATATGAATATCAATGTTAGAGTGTAAAAGTCAACAGAAGTTTAATTTCTAATAGTACTCTTCAAGGAGTGGGGCTAGGATTTTTGAAATTTGCTTTTGCCACTAAAATTATTAAGTTTGTATTTTGTTGACTTGAAAAACATTTAGATCACGTCAAATAGGGATGGTCACAAACACACCAGGACCCCTCTGGCTGACTACACAGGTGCCCTTGGCATTCACCTACCTCTTGCTTGAGATGCATAACATGTTCTTCGTACTCAGCCACCAGATCTCTTTGAGTTATGTCCATTTCATCCACTTTCTGTTGAAGCCCACCAATCTGTTTGTCAAAATCCATAAATGTATGGTCAACATTAAATTTTAACCCTTAACTTCCAGAAATGATGAACTAATTTAAGCATAATTTCTGCTGTGATTATAGAGATGCACGCGCTCTGATTGGTTGAGGATCATGTTTTATTGTGCTTAATAATCACCTAGCTGAAGGTAATTATAGCAGGGGCACTAAATTTCAAAATGGCTGCCTTGCATTTTGTCAATTTTACGCAGAAAATTATAAATGCAATAGTACAAAAATACAAATCTGAAGAGTTCAAAAGATGCTACTAAGTTTGGAGTAAAACTTTTCAAAAGATATGAAGTTTTTGCAGATTGAATTGAATAAACCTGTGAAATTCTAGTGAAAAGTGCTGCTTATCTCAATATGAGGAATCAAAACAATTGTAACAGAATGGTTTAGACAACAACAACAACAACAACAACATTTATTTAAACATGATAAAAAAATTACAGCTGAGCTGATCTGGTGGTGTATTTAAAAGTTAAAATATAGTTTACAAGTGAATAAAAAGCTTAAAAACTAATTAAAATTTAAAAATATCTAACCTATTTTAAAAAATACACAACATATCTGTAAACTAATCTATTTGCATTAAGTTCTGCACTAAAGAAAATTTTTAAATGAGCTTTTGCTTGAGATTACATGCATATAACATCAAAAGGAATTTACATCAGAATTGGAATTTACAAAAAAAATTGAAAGCACCCACGAGTCTGAGCAATTGTAAAAAAAACAATTACCGGTATTTGCCTCAGGCTCCTTGTTGAATAATCCCCTCAACTTTGTATTGGAGATTATTCAACAACATTCACTTCACCTTCAGCAAAAATTGCTAAATATCATGAATACATTATGAATTTTGAGATGAACGAAACTCTCTTACAGGAAGCCTCACCCCTAAAAATCCATCACAATGATTACCAGAGACAGGTGAGTTTTATATACAGAGAAAAATGCTAGGTCCTATGATCTAAAAAAAAAATTTAAATCATTATGGTAGATGTACTGTAGTTGTATGTTTTTTTGCTGCACCTTCATCACAAATGAAGTATTTTCATTGATAAAAGAAGAAAATAATCAATACAACACACTGACCTCCTGACACTTCTGCTCCAATTGGACTTTAACAAATTCCACCTCTTTGGTTTTCTTGTCCAGTTGTATTTGAACAGCATGCACATGAGTCTCCCATTCTGCTTTCTTAGCAGATACCATTAGATCAATTTGCCGCATTAACTGAAAACAAAGCAAAGTATATGATGGCATCATCATCATTGTCAATGGGGGAAAAAAATGGCCTGTGTAGATCATCTTTCAGGATATATCTCATGTTTGATTTCATAAGATATACATGTTACGGTTCAAATTTTTACAAAGTTTAAATTTCTCAAATCATTTTGATTGTTAGTTTCCTTTGTCCTGCAAAATAATATGATAAAAAGGAAATGAAAACTTTCAAGCTGGTAAAATTTGAACAACACATGTATGGTATACAACACACACATGATTTGAACTTTCATGTCTTCTCTTAAAAGATACTTGAAAAAAATAATATTAAAGCAATAAATTTGAATCCTTGAAATGCCCAAGTTTGAAAATATCTAACCTATAACCTGCATTATATAATGAATTAGTTATTCTTTTGCAGATTAAAACTGTAGTGGTTTTTTTTTAGAAGACCTCCATCATAGTTACAACAAGCAATCTCACTCTATTTTGAAAGAATTCTTCCATAAAAAACTTCTTGAATGAAAATATCTGGTACATCTGCATATGCATACAATTTGATGGACTTTCATTGTATGTAACTGCTTCCCATAGGTGAAAGCATTTTACCTGTAGTGTCTTTGAGGGCATCTCTGGGTAAGTGAGATTTAAGAGTTCATGGAAACCAAGTACATGTACTTTGTAGAACAATGTTTAGTACTGTAATCAATATTAATGATTACAAAGGTTTTCTTTCATTATGTAAATAGGAAACTGTTAATTGACAAAGCCACAAGCATGATCTCAAACACTCTGTTATTACATTTTGCTTGTCATAAATTAATTATTTCATGACACTATGATTATACCAATAGAGACTCGATTGCTAGTTTGTGTAATTTAAAATCTTCTAGTTTTTTCAAAAAATTTACTTGTTCTCATATTTTAGTGATTCTACTGACAATAATTGTTATTAGTATTTTGATTACAATACTTAACTTTATTTAAAGTGTGCTGTTTATAAGAGAAAAAGTACCCCAAAGAAACTAAAAATTGTGGTTGTAAGTAAAAGTTTACAAAGAAAATGTGGAATTTAAAAACCAATACATATTACTATGCTGTATATTTCCTTTTCAGTACATCCAACCACCAAACTTAAAGATATTGTCCATAGTGGAGCTTTTGAAGCTTTGTGCTGAGAATATCAAATAATTGGCAAAGTATACACATCACATGTACATGCATCTCTGTACATTGTTGTATGAATTGAAAAATATTGAAAAAATTCAAAAAGCTGTGAAGCAAATTATAAAGCTGTGAAAAACATCTAATAATATTTTATAAATAGTGTTAAAAAATGTTTTTAACAGCATTATTACTAATAATCACTCTTTATGATGATTGCTTCTTACCTCTCGCAGTTCTTCCTCACATGATGTCAGAGAACCTTTTCTGATCAAGCTAAACAAGAACAAACAAGACAGGGTTAAATAAACTTTTTTTTTTATAAAAGATGGACCCATTTTGTCTAGTAATATATATATATGAAAAAATGTTTAAAACATCCTCAATAGATTCCTTGTGTAATTAAATTACCAAACAGATTCTTTGTTGCTATCTATCTGTTCAGTAATAGGTCACAGACGACGTCAAAATGTGGTCAGGGCAAAAAAGTGGCAAATGAGGTGCAGCCAGGTGTGTCACTTGATATACAATCATGTTCCTACTGCATTTTGACATCTTTTGTAATCTAATACTGTACAGACCCACAGCTGTGATCTATGTGTCTGTCCTCTATTAGATCATCAGAACCAATCAAAAGGCATGTATAATGCAGCTAGTCAGTAATTACAAAATTGTACATTAATTATAGCTGTTTCTCTCTAATATGACCCTTTCACCCCCAGGAGTAATCCAAAACTGATTTCTCCCTTCATTTCACAATACATTAACAGGCACAAACTAAGGCAACAGGACAAGTAAAAATTATCATCAAGCTAAAACATATCATTTCACTTAACAACAAATTCAAAGAGCTGAAATGATAAAAAATATATGGAAGACAATAAAGAGAATTGATATTTACAAGACGATTTGGAAAAGAGTGAAAGGGAAGAGAAAGAATCAGTGGGTATTGCAAGTCAGGGCAAGCTCTTAAGAACTGTAAAGTTTTGTATAAATATCTTTCCAAATAAATTCATTTTCAGAATTTACTCTGACTTTCCTGATAACAGTAAAAGCATATACCGATCTGGAAAGATATAAAAAATATTCATGATGATCATAGATGATATCATATAGTAAGCAATTTAAAACCAACAACACTGTGTTAATTATCACTCTGTTGTTAAACCAGGCTTTCATCAAAAAATGTAGTAAGAGTACAAGGGTACAAGCTGTAAAGTGAAAGGAAAATAATCCCTATATCTGAAGAGAAAATTACTCACAACCAAAATTAACCCAGAGATTTTTGTGTAGAAGGAACAGAATTCTCTAATTTGCAATGCCTTTCAGACACCTTCTAGATATCATCTACTTAAAAATGGAATTCAAGTTAAAATCATCTCACCAATTTTATTTGTATATTTTTTTGCGAAAAAGATTCTGCTGTTAAAGATGAAACAAGGAAAATGAAAGAAAAAAATTTCTTTGACATCATTTTGTTCTGAAATTCATTTGAACCTTCACCAGATAAGTTGTGTTTCTTAACATTTTAGCACAAGCTGCATTGTTCTTCTTAATGAGGCAAATAAATTATTCATAGATTCAATAAAGAATACTACTAGGAACAAAACATTAAAACACCTGGCTCAACCAAAATTGATGGACTAGACCTTAAGAAAGAAATTTTCAAGCAAGAATTTATAATTTCATTTTCTTCACAAATACAGCTAACAGAATAATGTTATCTCCATCAAAAGTATCAAAAGATGCAAGCTGCCGATCACCACGTCGTCCTCGGAAGAGGCTCCTAAGCTATGAAATTCAATCAGATGAGAGTCAAACCAAGCAACAGTGGTCAGATGGGGTAAGTTGTACACTGTAATTTTAACAATCTTTCCCCAATGAGAAAAATTAGAGTCATTGTTTGATTGAATTAAGTACACTGAATACAGAAATACAGCTTGGGTATAAAATAATGCACAAATGTATGTAATCCAAGTGGTGCATTGTAAATGCACTTTATTCATTAGGCTTTCACAGCATTAACCGCATGTTACTCTTCATCCTGTTACATCTTCAATAGCTAGATTTCTGTAGTTTCAAGCCTTCATTATCAGTGTTAAATATATAATAGCTAGACAGTATGTAATAGTCAACTGTATCTACAGACCCTGAGGGTAAAACACACAACAGTATACATACTGATAAACCCAAGGCTTACATAATATACAAATGTTAGTAGCTCATTATGCAAGAACACTTTACACCATTTAACATTATAAAGTAAGATGAGAACATGATCACAATTGCTGCTGACCCAGGGCTTAGATTGTTTCTATGTAAAAGGCAATGTCTCTAATCTCTAGGGTGACCACTTAATAAGGTTCCACAGAAAAGGATTATATGTAAATTTTTAATAAAGTCAAGTTTTGCTGTATTTACAAAACCTTACTTAAACGGAATTACTACTAAAATTTATTTTGGGTGATAAACATCAGTTGAATTTTACTGTTATCTTTTTTAAAAGATTATTCTTAGCTTTATTTGAGTGGTTGCTCTTCAACTGAGTGTTCAATACAGTTAGCAAATGGTGACTATGACCACTCAATAGATGTGGCTGCTTTAAATAGAGTTGAAAATCATAGTGATGAGGCGGAAAAAATTTCTGGTCTTTGACAACTGACTGCATAACACAGGGTGACCCCTTAATACAGAGCCCCTAAATTCAGGTTTGACTGTCATTGTAAAATTCCACTCTCAAAATGTCATGTTTCTGAGTTGACACTGTGTTGCGTAGATTTGAATTCAATTATTTTTAATTTGCTCTTAAATATCCACAAAAGCAAAGGCTGATAAATATATATTTGGTTGCATAAAACACAAGATTAAGTATCAAAAAAGGATACAATGTCTAAAATACCAAATTTGACTGGGTTAAACTAAAAAATTTGACAAAAACTTAGAAAGGTAACAACTTTGACCAAATGGCACATTTCAATTGATGAAATTGTTTACAACAGTCTCACAAATTTCTCACAAGCATGTCTAAGATTTTGGCAGTGGAATAGCTAGAAAAGGGAAAATATAACAGATCTGTGATTTTTTTTTTTCAATGCATACAATTTAGGCATTTCAGAACTTAAGTGATATTCTGGGGCTTTTCTTCATAACCAATACAAATTTCTCTGAAATTTTTCTGTGCAATTGTTGAACTCTTTAACTCCTAAGAATGACTAGCATCTAATTTCTCCTTACACTATCACCACTGAATCACACATAAATGTCATGAGAATAAAAGAAATGATCACCAACTAAAGAAACTCTTGATTGTTAAACAAATTCTCCTTGTCAGCACCTTACTATATGTACAGAAAACAGTATGGAGAATATGAATACTGATGTTAGGGTGTAAAGGGTGAATAACACACTATTGGCAGTCCACCAGTGACTCTCACTGGTGACTTAGGATGATACATGCAGCTTTCTAAGGTCAAACTGACACAATTTATACAAATTGTATCAAGGAAAAATTACAAAATTAACAGTTTTTTTTTTTTGTCAAAATGGTCAGGGTTTAACTCTCTACATCCTAACATCCATTTGCATATTCTCCATACTGTTCTATACATTTCCTTATGTGCTAACAAGGAGAATTTGTTTAACAGTCAAAGCTGCTTTAGTAGGTGATAATTTCCTCTATTCTTGTGACCTTCATGTTTGATTCATAGGAGGTATTGTATAGAGAAATAAGATGCTGGTGAATCTGAGAGGTTAAAGAGTTAAGGCATTAACCCTAACATTCAAGAGAAATAAAGGTATCCACATGTATTTAACGAATAGACTCCATGTAGCTGTCCGTCTCTCTAGTAATCATCAGATAACATCAAAATGTGGTAAGAATCAAAAAGTGGCACTTAGGGCACAGTTAAGTGAGTCACTGATGTTCTTACTAAAACTTTTACACGTAACACATCAACATTCCACAGATATGAATAAGTAAAACAAGCGGAAGTCCCTACGATGCATGAAATGTAAACAAACATTGTTTCCCTTTAAAATTATTCAATTTCAAAACTTCAGCAACTGTAAACAAGCAAGAGAGGTACAAGTATAGTACCATCACGTGCAAATCCTTTTTGGAAGGAAACCATAGCTTATAATTACCTTTCAGAGAATATGTCTGTGAACGTCTCCATGTCAACAAGGCTTCGCGATTTCTGAAGATTTCGTCTTTTTCTAATTTTCATTCATTGTGGCCTCTGGATTAAGATCCATTCTAGTCAATCGACACCAGCGGATTGTCTGAGCTTCCTGCAAATCAGACAAAACTGATCCGAAATCGACTTTTCAAATTACTATCCGTTTTCCACTTGATCGAGCTTTGAAGACCACTCTTCGGTCTACGACTCGAGCATGACACTCTTTTGTTGAGATATCGAAGCATTAATCAATGTGCAAATCTTTCTATGATAGTTTCTGGCCAGTTTGTTCCATTTTTCCCGAAAAAAAGACGAAATCTGAACGACTTATTCCACTAACAAACGATCTACAAACTGTCAATTCAAAGAAAGCGCGTCTATCGAAAAGGCAACCAGGCCTTCTATTTAATTGCCAGGTTGCTTGGAATCACAACAGAATATGGCGTCCCTAAAATTAAATCAAATGGTTTGTTTTGTCTTTTTCTTTTAGGGTATTCATGTTTTTCTTAATCTTTTGTATCAATTGCAGATAATTTTAATGTTAACCTTTATTTTTCCAAGACTAGGTATGGTAGTAATGGGCATGCTTTTTGAAGGTGCGAAGCGATACTTTCCAACAATTGACTTTAAATTTGTTTTTGTTTAATCAAGGATAAAAAGAGATTGCAAGGATTTCTAAACGAGATGTTGAGAGTTGGATGTTTGAAGGTACAAAAGGATTGTCTTGAGGCCGTTCCTGATTGTATTTTATTTGAATATAAACAGTGCGATGAATGCTTACTCTTTTAATTTGTAATTAATTTAACACGAGATCCTTGGTCTTGCATGTGTTTGTTTCGTTCCTCTTTCTAGGGTTTCAAATATTTCGCTCTCTATCTACGAGGTCGAGAAGAGTTAATATGCAGAGTCCTAAATGAACCTATGGTGAGATACTTATGTTTTCAAAGAGACTTGTCAATCTCGACAATGTAATGATATGTTGCAATGTGGAAATTATTTTGAAACATGAATATCCCCAGGCATCATGACTCGAATCGACCAGCTCTCTAGGCATTATTTTATGTTGGCACATGATATCCTTTAGAGATAAGCCTCCAGGGAGACAAGAAAAATCTTGCCTTTTGATTGCAGAATGGGACCCTTCTGCACCTTTGACTCCTGCATTCCATCCCATATTAGTTCAGACTGCTAATACACATGATGAAATAATTTTTATGCAATCTTTGTTTTTTTCCCATTATCTTCACTGTCTTCTCATTGTCTGATCCCCCCGCTGCCTATTCTCCCCATGATCCAAGTCCATTGTTCTCTTCCACTTAAAAGCTGACAAAAGTTCTTGAAGTTAACCTAAAACTGTATGTTATATTAATGTTCTCAATTGGCAAAAAGTCATTCAGGGGAATAATATTAATAGTATACGAGGTAATTAAAAGTGGAAAATAGAAGACTATGTTTTTTGTCTTGCTTACTCCTTTTGAGTATTTTTATTTTGGTCATTTAGAACCTCAGTGCTGATCAATTTTATTTTTGCTGTCAACTTCTTTAAGTCTCCAGAAATCTGGTCATACTATACTTCACCTTCTTCTGAAAAGACGAGAAAAGGAACACTAAGTTTTACATTTGACGACCAGGCCAGTTTACCAAGGAATGAGTAAGTATCCAAGGTTAGGATGATGCTATAATATTTGTGATTCGATTAAGATTTGTTTGCCTTCTTCTGAAAAGATGAGAAAAGGAACTCTAAGTTTTAAATTTGACAACCAGACCAGCTTACCAAGGAATGAGTAAGTATCAAAGTTTATTGTGCTGTAATATTTGTGATTTTATTAAGTTTTGTGTGAAAATATGGATCATCTTTGTTGAATGAGAGACTGAATAAATCTCTTGAATAAAATTGAATTTTTTTAAAGTTTAAAGACTTAATTTTTTGAAATCTATTCTCCAAGTCAGACATTCCATTCTTCTTTATAGACAATCCTTAATCATGTCTGCAAACACTCAAAGAAGGTAACAAAAGCTCATTAATTCACTCTTTGCTTTTTTTGCAACAGTTCTAGATGTGCCTCTTAATTAAATATCTTTCAAATTTTAAAATTTATTCTAGATAACACTCAGATGCTTAACAAATTTATTGCTCATTCTAGGAATATTAATTTCAATTAACTTAAAGTAACCTTTAGCTCTACTAAATGATTCCCTCTTCTAACTATTTAGAATAACCTTCTAAATTGCTTATTGTACAAGAGCATATTAAACTATTTCTTAATGGCAAGTACATGTTTAGTTTTGTGAAATGAGATAACACCCTTTAGCTGGAAGTTGTTTGTATATAGTTTCTCAAATTCACCTGTTTTCTCCATCATATGTAGAGGTTCAAGATACAAAATAACTTCTCTCAGTTACGATAAATCAATTTTTGAGTCTCACAATAATCAGTCTCACTAATATATAATTATACCTATCAGCAGGACTCAGTTGTGCAAAGGCTGATTAACATTAACCCAGGGTTAAATTTTAACCTGGGTTTCTTTATCCCTTTGTTCCAAAGCCTTCCTCATATAATTTTCTTCATTCTTTAAAGGGTATCCAATCATCACTTTGTAGACTAAATGAATTGTACTTAATCTTTTTTTAAAGCTTTCAGATCTGAAATCAGATTTCGCACAAACCCTTGGTTATCTTAACCCAGCTTTGAACAATGCGGCCCAGACTGTCAGACTCTATGTACAAATAACATGTTAGTATGAGTGCAAGGCTTGTGCAAGTTTTGCTTTGGCAGCCTACAAATAACAATAATGTCATTTCTGTTGCTCTTTGTATAGTTTAAGTGGATATGGTTTCATGGATATCGGTTTACCACCAGCGAGTCCTAGTGAAAAAGATATTGATTTAAAGGTATATGGTATATTAATATACTTCAACATATATTACAAGACAAAGAAGTCATCTTGTGAGTTAAAAGGTCAATGTCCAAAACACCTTTTCCACCTTTTAACTGGCTCTCATGAAAGCTAGCTAGGCAAATGGTTAGGTTATCTCAGTCTAAAGTCACATTAGAAAAATATCACCTGAATATTTGCCTAACTTTCGTCAAGTTAATAAGAATCAAATTTATGGTTGATAGGGTGTACATTTAGATTTTTAATGGTTAAAAGTCAGTTATCAGCATTGCAAATGACAAAGTGGAATGTCATTCTACCACAAGAATCCAGAGAATGAAATAATTAATAACCTCTTCGTTGAAGGATCAGATACTTAATTATCAATTAGGATTATTTGCATCAAGTACCTTTTTATTATTATTTTAGGATGACAAATCAACCTTATTCCTTATTGCTACTTATGCTCGGTACAGCTGTCCATATGTGTGGGTGAGTGGAGGCTTACAAATGTCAAACTACAGTATTGTTTGTTTTCTTTTTAAGATTCTCTCTATTTCTGAGTGAGTTAAACTCTCAAGTTTGCAAATATCACTCTTGTAGGCTTCAAATCAACTAAAGAAATACGAAAAACAGAGTTAGACATCACATTCATATTTCTGAACACATTTACTCCATTTTGATTTGTTTGAAAACCTTAAGTATTGTATCTTTAGGGAGGCCATTCAAAATTCACAACAATATTGGCCATTTAACTTTAAAGACAACCACATGTAGAAGCAGAAAATGGTAAGCCTCTGGGTTAAACAATCTAAAGCAGGCAAGATGAGTCCATTTTGTCTGCTTGGTTAGAGCAAAGGATTTTGCTTGCTTGCATCTAGTAATCATGAGATTGAAAAATTGCCCAAAATACATGCTTTATGTTGTAGGTAAGATCAAACCATGAGAGACTAGTGGCACTTTCTAATGATTCTGGCAAAGAAAAACTGAAGGATAGTCCATTGAAACTTAAGTCCACAGCAGAATGGAAACAGAGAGGTATAGCTGTATGTTGGTCATAGAGCACAGTATATGTTCACCCACTGTCATACAAGACATCAACTTGCTCATTACTGTAACAGTAAATTGTAAATGAACTAAATGAAGTTAGGAAAATGTTGATGGAAGCCAAAGGCCTAGATAGATCTCAGTTCTCTTGACAGAGTTGAATCAATAATTCACATATATGTTTAAGATCTATCAGTGTTATGCTATAGCGATAATTATTTTATTTGTCTTTAGTTTTGATGCAATGGAAAAATTGCCAGCAAGAATAATTTGGATGTTTGTAACCAATAAGAATGTAGAGAATGTCTCAACATTTTAAGGAATGTATGATTTATGGCAAATACATCATGGTGGTCCTGACTGCAGCAAGAACAAAACAAAAATCACAGACATGTATCTTTCGAATAATTTGGTCTCATATATTTTACCTATTCAAGGATAGACAATTGAGTGAACTTTTTATGTCAGAGTTATACATTAACTCTTTAGACCTGAACATCAGTATTCATATTCTCCATACTGTTTTCTGTACATTTACTAAGGTTCTGACAAGGAGAATTTGTCTAACAATCAAGAGTTTCTTCACTTGCTGATCATTTTCTTTATTCCCATGATAATAATATGTGATTCAGTGGTGATTTTGTAAGGAGAAGTCAGATGCTAGTCTCTCCTAGGGGTTAAAGGGTTAATTTTAGTCAGATAATTCAAATTTAGAGTTGTCTGTTTAACAGGTAGTCATTAACAACACACGTATATACGTCCTCACATAAAGCTTATTTTTCCAAATCAGACAGCAAACTCTGGGACATTATTGCTGAGATTGTAAAGCTGTGTATGTATCCAGCTCCACTCAACCCATTTGCCATTGATTTCAAGTATTTTGAAGGTCTGCCATTGGTTCAAAGAGTCATTGCAACTGGTGCCATGGCTCATTTCTTGCAGAAGGTTGTAGCATCTGGTGACCATGCATACAATGCCAGAGGTGAGGAATGGAGAAGATCCATCATATGTGTTTCTTGATAGTTACATAAGTTTCAAAAGTCTAGGACTGACTCAATAGAGATTACCAGAGTTGCTAATAAAGGACAAAAGAAGCTATCAAAGTTGTGTAATAAGCTGAATCCTACACACATCTTGAGTGGTTCTTGTGGTCTGTTGGAGGACAGAGGCATGGACAACATCACCATTCTTTTTTTTGTTAACATGTAAGACAAAAAGATTCCAGTCTGTACAGTCATAGTTCAGAGAAGAAGCCAAAATATGGTAAGAACATAAGTGAAACAAAAGGTGCACTTTTTTGTTTGTACCATATTTTGATGTTATCTGTGATCTATTATAATTGTACAAACACAGAGCACCATAGAATCTATTTGTTAAGTGAATCACCTAGTGGATTACAATATAATTCTGAAGTGCTGATCTGCCAAGCCCTTGTGGTGTATACACCATGCTCAAATGAAGGAAGTAAGGATCATTTATCCATTATTTGCCCACATTTACCACTGACTATTCCACCCACTTAACATTGAAAGTCTGACAATTATAAAATCAGTCGAGTACTTCCCATGTCATCAGACATCTACCATATTCAAATCTGTGTTTATTTACATATGGTTTATAAATAATAATGTCAGTGGTATTGCTTATAGCTGTCACTTAAAATAAGTAACCAATTTTTGACCACTTAACTTCTCTTTCTTATACAGTCTTTGATGACTTAGGAGAAATCACAAGACGTCATTTTAAGGACTTGCAGACTCTTGTGCGGCAGAGAAGATTGCAAGAAATTGAACAAGCTTCACCACAGAATCCAGTACAATATAATACACAGCCCCAGGATACCCAGTATTACAACACTCGGCAGCAAAAACAGCAGACAAACTATTACCAAACAGGACCAGTGCAGCAGTCACTTCAAGCATCAGGCTACTCTGGCCAGTATCAATCTGGGAAAATGTATTAGTCTGCCTCAATTTCATTAAGACACAGACATAAGGGCAGCCATGTGGTCTTTTTTGTAATGATTTTCATGAGGAAGAAAATGCACCTGTAAATTGTAAGATGATAATTGGTAACATTTTTCTAGGTTGGATACACTGTAAGCTCAACAGGTATTATAAATTAGCACATAATTGATGTTTTTCTATTGTGAAAATACTACTTCCATATAGCACTTGTAGGGATGTGTTTAATTTAACTCTGACTGTAAGATTATTTTATTCCTCAATTAGAAGATAAACTTGAGATTTGTATTGGTAGATACTGTAGTTTTAAGTCATCTGTAAAAGTCAACAGAAGTGAAGGCCAAGCCTTCCTTTTGGTTTTGTTAGATTCTTGGTGTATTATTTTTTGGGAAAAGTAAACATTTTCAACAATTCTTACACAGTACATCTATACATTGGTGACAAATATATTTTTTGACTCACCGTTTACTGTATGAATTATACTGGCAAGTTGTTAGGAAGTGTGGTCACCAATCAGAACATGTGGGATCTGTAACAGAATGCTAAAAAGCTTTCAAGTTACAGTTGAACCTGGACTATCTAGACTTATGGGGACTGGGTTAAATGGTCTGGATAACTGAGAGTCTGGATGATTGGAAATATTAATTTTCATGAGCCAAAAATAAAACTGAATATGTATTGCATAAAAATTGCTTGACATACCTGTTGTGTCATTTGTTGATTTGTGACTCCTGTGTGTTCTATAGCGAGATATTAACTGAAAGTACTCACTACACTTAAATAGAAGGAGTGAGTACTTTCCATTAATACCTCTCTAAATTACACACAGGAGTCACAAATCAACAGAATGACACAACATGTTTGTCAAGCAACTTTTTTTCCAATACAGGTAAAGATATGGCATAATCTAAATCCCCATATATTCTCTTACAAATGTATCAAGCTTGGGTTGCCTGTGCTCCCTCAATCTCAAAAGGAATTATCCTTGTTGTCTGCCATAAATTTTTCCTTTAGTAAATTCTGAGACTTAAGAATCAAATGCTAATCCCCTTTTTCATATTTTTCTTCAGTCTCATCAACAGTCTGCTTGATCATGATCATCATAATAATCATTGCTTGGTGTGCCAGTAGGTGCATAAGGCCATCACATTATCCACCCAACCCCCCTTGTTGCCTGATGCCACCTTGGCCACATCTCAGCTCTTCCACCCTGCCTTGCCTCTCTCTCTTGCGAAAGTCCCTCTCCAAGTGGTCTTTGGTCTCTCTCTCACCTTTCAACCTTCTGCTGTCCACCCCAATGCCGTAAAACAGTTGTTCACACCCTCTCTCCTGAGTATGTGTCCTGACCAGCTCCACCTTCTTCTTTGCACCTCACAGCTAATTTCATTTATTTCTACCATTACTCTATTGTTTTTCATTCTTTGCTGCCATCTAATCCTCAGTATCCGTCTTAGGCACTGGCATTGGAAACTGTTCAGTCTTCTTTCACTGGCCTTTGTGATCTTCCTTGTTTCACAACCACATATCAGGACCGGTAGGACTAAAGTCTTGAACAGGTGTACCTTGGTTCTCCTTATTCCTCTGACTGCCCACACCTGCTTGATATTGTGTTGATATTGTAGAGAGAAATTACTCAATCCCACATTAATCACTTCCAGGAGTGAAAGGGTCATTACCATAGTTTCTTGGTTATAAGGTGCACCGTTTTTTTGAGAAAATTCTGTCTTTGGTTGGAGAGTTAGTACTGAAATTGGGGTGCTTCTTATAGCCAAGTATTTTTGCAAAACAAAATCTTAAGATCACAATTTAAGCAGAACTTACTGTTAAAAAGGCAAGAAAAGGACACCAATTTTTGAGAGGAAAAGGAGAAAAAACAGAGCTTTTTGGTCTAAGGTGTAGCGAAGATTGTGTCAAATTCAATCCTCTATTCCTATGAATTAAAAAGGAATACTGCTTTTAGAGCACTGATCAGCTTCTATATTCACCCCTGGAAGTGACCAATGAGTAATTTCTCTTTACAATATCAGCTCCTGAGAAGCTTAATAGAGTATTAATGGTTTTCAAGAGCGCCAGTACCGAAGCGTAGTGGAGAACATATTTCTATGTTCGCTATCGAACGAACTGCTCCTTGTTTTTATGCGATTTCATGAAGATGTTTTCTTGCCTTTCTTCGGTCTTGTTCTTTTACGTTTCGGTTTCACTTCCTCTTCTTCAGTTGGTGGATCCGGTGGAACAAGTCCTTGAGAAAAGTCGTAATAGACAATGGTGGAATCAGCCTCATAGAAAGCCATTGTTACTTTGGAGCTCACGCGACTACGACATGCATCTGCCCCTTCCTCAGTTTCTTCTTCGCACAGATTAACTTCCTGAATAATATCATGAATTTCCTCTGTTGTTAATGTTGTATCTATCGTAAGCGGAACTACAACATCAAACTGGGATTTCTTGGTCCGCTTTCCAGTTATGTACACTAACTTCAAAGATTCGCAAGGATGAATGCAAACCTTAAACCAGTGCTTGCTTTCACATAAGTCCAGGTACACACCGATAGCAGCTCTTGCTAGCGGCATCTTTTCGTTATAAAATCCATATGATTGTATTTCTTTGAATTTTGGATGCGCTTCCAACCAATTTTCCCTCGTAACTTTGTGATGAGCCGTGCTTGTGGACGCCATTAAGACAATTTCTGCCAGGCGTATAAGGCTAACCGCGTAGAACTAGGTACGAGTGATCCCATGTTCCAAGATGGCGGACCGTCGAGAGTCAGGTGTGATATCTTTTAGTACTTTTTGTGACAATAGAACTTTTCTTAAATGTTGGTTGTTGATTATCAAACAGGGAGAATCAAAGACATATCTAGCAGAAAAATTTTGGATAATGAAACCCGGAAAAGACGCCAGAAAAGACAGCTTGAGGCCTTAGAGAAAGACAACGTTCAAGATGATCCTCACGCTCACCTGACGATAGTCCCTGCCAAAATGAAAGTTCCGGCTTTTAACGACACCATGGAAGGTAATTCTTTGAAGCAAGATCTTCACATATGTGGAAAATTGTTTGACATGTGGCCTATATGGTTCATCCTATAGATAAAAGGAAGAAGAGGAAATCCAAAACAGGAGAGTTGTTTAAACAGGTGTGTAGAAATTTGAGGTTGTGGTAATGTTTTCGTAGGTAGTGGAGCTAACTTTCCCACTCATTGAGCTCTTAAGCAGGGACTTTAATGAAATGTTTCAAATGGGGAGGGGAGAGAGAGATGAGGCGAAGCCTTAAGTGGGCTGGTATCCTTTTCTGCAGGAACAGCAGTGCTCCTAGTTACTTCATACTGAGGAAACAATGATAAGTTCAGAAGTTACACCGCATTTAAATTAGCACCTGAGCTCTCAAATTGATATGCTGATGAATAGTGAGATTTTGAACCGCATAATCTCCAATTGTGATGCCCTGAGCATCACCTTTCTTGGATATGGCGGATATGAGGGTATGCTTCCCAGGTGGAAAACTGTGAAAAATTGAAATAGAAAATTATTTTGAGTTATTGATACGTGGAAAATAATCGACAATTGTGTGTGATAGTTGCTGTTTTTGTTGTTTGTTCCCCCAGAGATTTCGAAGAACATTCGCCATGCTTTTGGAGGAGGCAGTGAGTTTTTTTGTAACAATTTTTATTCTGATTGAGAGCTAGAATAGACTTAAGAAAATGGATTAGCATCATAAATGTAATTACTATAATTTTATTCTTCTTGTAGACAGCATGTACACATAACTTCCATTTCTTCCATTTCCCTCTAGTTTGTAAATTTTCTGTAAATCCTTTCCACCCTAACATCAGTATGCATATGCTCCATACTGTTCTCTATGCATTTTCAAAGGTGCTAACTAGGAGAGTTTGTTCGACAATTGAGAGTTAATTTAGTCTGTGATCATTTCCTTTATTCCTTGAGACCAAAATGTTGGATTAAGGGGGTGACATTGCGAGAAATTAGATGCTTGTCACTCTTTAAGGTCAAAGGGTTAAGATGTTTGTTGTTATGTCATTGTTGGAATTTTTCAGTGTTTGCTGGCTTGTTTGTTTGTATTTTTTGGTAGCAACAAGAAGCAGAAGCTGGTGAACCCTCGTATACCTCAGCTAAGGTATGTCCCTCAAAATTCCCAGAGAGACACTTCTGTGCTGTGTGTGGATATCCTTTTTTAAAATTGTTGCTTGTGTTTTAGTACCCTTTTTTTGAATTACTGTATTTCCATGAATAAGGGCCTGAGTGCTTATTTAAAATTTTTGTCAAAAGGAGAGCTTATTGGAAGAAGGGTGTTATATAGTGCAAGGCACTTGTTTTTCTCTTGGGCTGATTCTACTGTAGTTGAAGCTTAAATAGTCATAAATAAAGTGGCAATAGAAGCAGGTTTTCTCATATCCCTACTTTTTTAAGAAAATCAGGGAGGGGGGGAACCTTATTTTAGAGGGGCAATTGTTTGTCATAATGGCTAATGGGGTGGGTGATTATTCAGGTGAGGGTGCTTATTAGGGCATAGGCACCTATTCAAGGAAATATGGTATTCTTACCTTCAGCATTATTCTTCTATGAAACTGTACAGAAACTATCCTTACACTGTAACCAACTCACTGATGGTCCTTTTCAAGTTATGCTACCCAACGTATGGGTGCAAAGAAGACTAAAACAGTCAGTAACTTTAAGCACTTTGGAAAGGGATGAAAAAAATGAGAGAAGGTTAATACCCTGGACTTTCAAGCTATGCACAATAAAATGATAGTGAGGTTTATTTAGTTAGGCTTGGTTTTTTTTTTTTCTTCAAAGAAGCCTATGAAATGTGCTTCCTTAGAACAATTTTTTTCCATTGTTCTGACAACAAGATCAGCTGTTTGGGTTCTTACCATCTTTAGGGGGGTGCAGAGGAAAATAAAACTTCCCATTAAATGAAAGATGAATCCTTGACTATCCTTCACATTTCCCTCAAATTACACTTGTGTGTCCTGTGGATCAAGATACTGTTGCGTGAAGTGTCTGGGAACACACCAGGACACAAGATGCCTAAAGTGGACAGTCTAGCCAGCTGTTCCTATTAATATTTGCCTCTATGAAAGTTTCCCAACAATTCACGGTCAAGAACAAAATCTTCAAGAACAGTAGAAGAAGACCTCTCATTCAACGAGTGACCATGGTCGTGATGAATTGTTTTAGGAATGCGTCAAGCTTACAATTGCACACCCCATAAACAATGTGCAAGAGTGATGTAGAAAATGTTCCGGCACTTTGTTTAGGTCAAAGGTGTTTTTTAAGGATCATGGGTATTAAGACTCGCCTTCCTCCTACGTAACCCTGACAGATTATACAGTATGACTGTGATACCAGTTCCCTTCGAAGAGATGCCTTGAAATCTGCGCTGTTCTTACTCACATCTTTCTAGCATGATTTTACATTTGCAGATGTAAGGAGAAAGAAATTAAAGGAACTCAACTTACTTTATAGTTTATGTGCTGTATTCCGTTGTTTTTGTGTGACTATCAAAGCTTGTTGGCCTTCCCTTACACCTATAACTCCCAGATCAAATTTGAAATTCTCCTTACTATCAACCATGCAATTCATATAATGTTAGTTCTGAGAATTTAGTATTGGATCAACTAATTATCTCCAAATTGATATTTTTCTCCATTCTCATCACTCATCCGTTTGATATTGTATTAATATTGTAAGGAGAAATTCTGTCTTGGTCACTCCCGGAAGTTAACGGGTTAAGAAGTTCTGGTCAAAGCACCGTAACTATAACAATGGTAAAAGGTTGCAACAACAGATCTTTACCACAGGTAGTGAAATGTAAAGGCCCAAACTAAACCAGAAGTACCCCCACAAAATTAGTTTTTGACGTAGCCATGATGAACTAAGTTTCAGTTTGAATTTGTCATGTGTTTTGTTTTCCGAGTCCTTCAAGAATTTTTGCTCTGAGCAGTGTATGTTAAATGCATCACGTGAGCGAATATCCCTCAGTTAAAACTACGTTATATCCGTAGATATTCCCTGAATAATATTCATCAATTATTCAACCCCACATTTAGTGTGACAAGGGTCTACCTGTGAAATTGTCTTCATGCAGGAAGATTGTTTGCCACTATCACAGATAAATTAAAGACGAAGGACTAGAGGGGACCATCAAATTCGTTCACAAAGTCGCTCTGAAAAGTCAACGTCATTTTCGGCGGTATGCTGGTCGTAAAATTACGGTTCCATGCACTGGAAGGAATACATATGCATCTGAAGTATGATAAACAAAATAGCCTCTAATTGGCTTGGAAATAAGTTCGTGTTTTATCCGTCCCTCGAGATTCACATGCAGTTTCCCTCGAGCTTCGCTTCATGTCGTCTTTGGAGAGATGTCCGCACGAGCAAAACATATCTTATTAATGTGCAACCTTCTACAGATTTGCTTGCGTCAGGATTAGGCTCCAAAAAAAGCCAATCAATTGAAGGACGATTTGTGCCTACACTCATTGCGTTCAGCGGATATCTATTAGGGACTCGTAGCTGCAGGGGACAGAGGACTTCAAAACCGGCTGTAAACACAGCCACCACGGCATCTGAAAATAGAGCAAAGAGGGCAGTGCAAGCTACTTCAGCTTCTCCCGGTTCTCAGGATCGTTTTAAATCTCTATGAAGTGTAGTTTACGTAATTTACGTTTCCACCTGAACGTGTCGACAAACGGTCAAGAGACAGCATCAGCGAATATCTTCCAACAGATCTAAGGAACGGTGGTCGGTGTGTGTGGTTTGACCACAGGTCTACGAGCACCGAATGAAATGGTAAGTATAAGAGCAAAAAAAAAGCATCGCGAATGTCTAAGGAAAACTCCTATTGTGTGAAAAAAGAGGTACATATAAATACGAAATGTGAAAATTCGGGGCGTAATGTTTTGAGACAGGATTATCAATATTGTGGCGGAAGTATCAAATTTACCCCTGGCTGACTGGTTCCGACCACCTCTTATGTCTTACTGAACATTTTCCTTAGTGTGCGAGCTTAATTACAGTAATATTTTATAGATCAGTGGCAGTGTACTACGAGACTGGGTTTTCTTCGAATAATAATTTGATTAATTGGCGACCACCAAACATAGTTCGAACTTCAAACAAACCCCTGAGACACTTTTCTTCATATTGCTAGGTAATGTATCTTTGTGCCATTATTTTGGATATTATACAATTTACAAAGGATTCCACGTGAACATAGTAACGTTGCGAGATAAACGTTGAAAGATTGAGCTTTCTGTTGTTCTTCAGACTTAATCCATAGTTCAAATGTGTCATGAAATTTGATGATCACATTTCAAGGCAGTCTAATGCGAAATTTATAAATAAACACCGAGCAGAACTTTGATCGCCTTCATCCAAAAAAATTATTCGCAAATGCAATGAGGAATTTGATCTTTTCCTTTCAATTTCTTGGGTTTCTTTGAAAACTTCATTAAAAGATGAACTCCAAGTTAAAGTTGAAAAAATATAATTAGAGACAGTTAGTTAACCACTTTCTCGGAAAAGCTCATTCGGCATCATTTCCGTGAATGAAAGACGAACGTTTCGCGATGATCCAGAAAAACAAAACGAATCGTTCTTGTTAAGACGAGTGCTTTTCTAAGATAAATTTTTGACAAAACTAGAACAGGATGTGTGATGACAGTGGCGTTAGTCTAGCAGCGGTTCTCCTTTTAGATAGGAGATTATTTCGTGACGCAGTAACTGCATTGATACATGTATCAACTGAGTTTATAAAGTGAATTGGCAACCATGATGATGAATTCAGCCGTCGATTTCGACAGATTTCTGTTCTCTCTGGTAGTTACTGATCGCCACTGGAGTGCTTTCTACGGTGGCTGCATGATCAAGTTTATTCGAGGGCGACAGACTCTGACATTCTGGGCAGACGTAATCAACACCGTACAAAAATTATAAAGCTGAAGTTTCGAATGTAAGCGAATCATTCGCTCTGAAGAATTTTTAATACTAACTGCAGATAATCATACCAATCAGTGTGAAAACGCGTTGATCTTTATTCTGATGCGTTTTCCAGGAGTTTTCTACGTGTTCAGAGGCGGACATCAAAAGAAAACAAGAGGAGCTGTACGATTATTACGAGAGTTCGCAAGACTGTTTAAACTCTACGGATGAAAAGGTTCGTGCCCTTTTGGAACAGGACATCGCAGATCTCAAGGACAAAATCGTTTCCCACAAACGGAATCTTAAGAAGAAAGAATACATCGTGCTCGTTACAGGTTTGTGATAGACAACATATCAAATTGTCAACGGTATTTAAATTCCCTTCAGTTTATATTACCTCTGTTGTTTATTTTACTTTCCAATTTTTCTTGCTCATTTACCAGAAGATTATTAACCGGGAGATTATATCTATCTTGGATTATATATAGTTTGTTTCAATTTTCAATTATCACTTATCGACCTATGGACTGAAATTTTCTGCAAGTTCAACTGTAGATATATCTACTTGCACATATTTGCAACAAATTTAATTTGAAGCAACAAGCAAGCAATCATATATTAAAATACTGGCAAAGGAGAGGTGAACGATTAATGTCACCTGGTTCCCTACCCCTCCCCTGACCTAACGTTAACCCTGACTTGTTATCAGTGGACTGTTGTTGGGTTAGGGAAGGGGTAGGTGCGCTATCAAATGACTGTTATTGGGTTGGGGGAGGGGTAGGTGCGCTGTTACTTAGATACTGACATCGATCGTAGGAGAATCTACGAGGCTTAGGCTTTAAGTTAGAAGAATATCATGGGTATCAAGACTTATTGTGAAAACCACTAATCTCTAGCAGAGTAATCAGATCTGCTTAACAATTGTTAGATAACTCTTACATTTATTACATCCATTTTAAAATCACTGGTGATCCTTGTAATCTGATTGGCTCTCATTGGTGCAATTTATTCACTAATCGTGCTATATTTTGCTTTAAATCGCATCTTTTTCCCAGCCAACGAGGAAGCTTTACAACGACTAATCGCTTGTTTAAAGAAACCAATCAAATTGCAAGAAAATGAAAAACAACTTTTGCAATTTTCTACAAGCCAACTGACTTATGGATCAACACAGCATTTGTATAGACTAAAAAATCCTGTATTTTGCGATTTCAAAATGGATGTAATAAAGTGGTTATTGAATGTCGTGTCGTGCAATTTTGGTCTGAAATGAAACTTGTTATTTCGAGTCAATTCAAACCCGTTTAATTTTGAAATTATGCATATGATTTCGGACTAAATTGCACTCCAAAGTTCAATTATACTATTATTAACAGCAAAAGAAATTAAAGGGAGGTTAGAAATGTCTTACACCCAAACAGTAAGGGAAATTAATCTACTTATATTTTCGTAGGTGAGAGATGTTTGGAAAAAAGCAACCTACTGAATCTGATCATCGACGAACAGCTTTTTCCTTGTTTCGTTGTTAGCACCTCGTCCACCGTCTTTGAACTAAAATATGGAACTGAACCCAAGCTTGTTGCGCACGAACATTCTGACACAAAAGTTTCCACAGAAATTCTCTTCCAGAGTGAGTCACTTGGAACTTTGCAGCGAGGTTGTCTGCAACAGCTCCTATCCACTATTTTCAAAGGTATTGGTGGGGAGAATTCGACTGAGGATCCACGCTACGAAAAGATCGAACTATTTTTGCCTCACAAACTTCTGAAGGTAGGTGATGAAGGAACGGAAATTGTGTTCCGTGTCTGAAGTACATTGACCAGTCACATGTATAGTGCTCAATCGAAAGATTTAAAAAAAATTTGCTGTCGCTCATGGCATGCCTGTGAAATAACTAGCCAGCCGCATACAAGCTATAGTTTTTGAGTTGAATCGTTTGATTAGGATAACCACACGCTATGCGTAAATTAACCTATCGTATGTCCTCCTTTGAGGGGAGGAGTGCATATTAGAAGAAGGGCACTTGATCGAGGAAGGAAGGGGGGGTTTAAAATTAGGGCAGAAAAACGACAAAAATAAAAGTACAGATGACGCACATAAAGGAACTCTGCAAACAAATGGAGATAGAAATAATTGGAACGGCTAAGAAACTATTATCATGGGCTGATTCGCTGCAATTAAAGCTTGAAGAATTATAATTAAAGTGACGATAGATACGGGTTTTCCTCGTATCCCTACTATTTACAAATTGAGGAAGGACGGGGGACGCTTATTTGAGATGGGCGCTGGTTTGACACTATGGCCTAAGGGATAGACGCTTATTCGAGGAAATACGGGTAGGCGTAAGCAGTAGGCGTTTGATGGTGGCTTTGGGAGCTCGAGTATTGATCTCTGAACCTCTCTACGATCGGCCTTGCCTTGAAGAAGGGAAAAACTGCAAAACCAGATCACCGGTGTATCCATTCATCACTCTTTCCATGTATTCCTCCATCCTTTCAGCCAACCTTTTTTTCCATTTATGTAGTCCGCAAAAAGTGACCAGGAGGCTTCAAATGCGTAGAGATACATCATCGACGTCGTTGTTTATTTAATTCCCTGTCTACTTCCCTTTTACAAGGCAAAATCTTTGGGATTAAAATCGATTGACTAGATTTTGTTTATGTACTCATTGTTATATTATCTCTTTCAGGAAGGGATTGTTATAGTTGACATCCCAGGGACTTATGAATCCCCCATCATAAATGAAAAAGCAAAGGCGTACCTTTTGGAGGCCTCCGCATTCATCTGCTCCATCAATGGTGTAGATGGCGAGGGAATACATCGAGACGAGGTAATTGTTATGAATTGTTAGCAATTAAGGCCTTTATCATCAAAAAGACTTAAAAAACACACAACCAAAAGTAAAAACTCACATGTTGTGGGACTTTCCCATAACGTCCGCCTTAAGGGAAGGGGGAATTATTTTTTTCGTCAAAAGTAGCTGATCTACGGAAGCAGTGGTGGTGAAAAGCGTGGAACATTTTTATCTTCACCGTGCGCTTAACTTCTCCTCAGTCGGTGATTTAATGGTTGTTGTCGAGAAGACATTTTCGACGGTTGCACTTTAGTGGCCGCTATTGTCCAGAAGAGGGGTTGTTGTCAAGAGTTTAAAATAAGATTAATAGAATAGACCATCCTCGGGACAACATGTATAAAAGGGGCACAACTCATGTTTCTTTTAACTGTTTGTGATCAGGTAGAAAAATACATCGCACACGCCAAACAGGTCAGTGCATTTCTGTACCAACAACTGAAATCTTCGTCAAATTGCCCTCTTTTGGTTTTCACCAAGCGGGATCAAGTACTGCAACAAGAGGCTTATAGGATTAAGAGTTGCATTATAAACCATCTCACAGAGCGTTGGCCCAGTGAGGACCCAGAGTCACAAATCATTTTCCTTTCACCAAGCAATGAGAGCAACGCATGGGAAGCTCCTCCTACATGCGATTTACTGATGAATCGTATTTCATCCATGGTTTTAAAAAGCATTGAAACAAACTTAGAGAAGCAATGGAGGTAAGTTGTCTCAGACTGATAAAAGCAGAAATTGAAGATTGGCTTAAGGCTTTTCTGAGTGTCCATTAGGGGTTCAAACCAAGCAAACTTTGCGAGAGTTCCGCCCTTCCCCGATATTAATCACATTGTAGAATTGGCAGTCGAGGAAAACACAGGAAAATGTATGCTCGGAAGGGTTTTGAACCTGTGTTTCCTGCACTATCAACTGAGCAACGAAGCCACATGTTTGGGAGGGACCAATTTTAGGGGGTTTCTCTGGGTCGTTCTCAGTTGAGGAATTTGATTGCGGTTGATATCTCGAACGAAATGGTCCCCTCGGATGAACTGCAGTTGAAGAAATTTCAGAGAATAATTTCGAATTGGTTATTTGTTAATTGACCCACAGGTCAAAAGGTGATTCACACAATTAGTTTGTAGTAACAGGCTTTTGCTGAATTTCTGCTGTTCGCGCTAACTCGTGATGTACTATTTTGCAGGTGGCTTTACCACCTTCTTTCACGTATGGCCTATCGCACCAAAGTAATTCGACGCGATCCTTCAGAGGTGATGAGGTTTGTGGCTGATCAGCAGGGCGCGGTAGACAAAGAGCTGACCACGACAGTCAAAGCCTCGGCTGCCCGGGAATTGTTCAAATTCCTCAACTCCCCAGAACTTCAACAATATTTTACTTCGTGGTCATTAGACAATGTTCCAGACGTCGGGGGTGATTGGAGCGTAACAGAGGAGAATATTAAAAAAGCATTAGTGAAACGACTTCAGGAGAAGATCGAAGAGTGGGAGAAACAAACCAATGTTTTCTCAGAATCTCGCACTTTACTGACACAGGACTTGTTCCGGAATTTCGAACGTGTTGAGCGACAGAATCAGAATGTTCAGAGCCCCCCCAAAGCGGACAGTGTAGCCAGCTCATCGGCATCATCAAGCGGTCCACAGACTTCAAGAAATTTAAGCTTGACAGAAACAGTCATTATCGGAGTCACAAGTCCCATCTGGGTTCCTGTCGGTTTCGTTGCTTTTTTGCTCAGTGCTCCGGTAATTGGAACCATAGCCGCCAAAGAAAGGTTTGGAAATCGGAGTAAAACAAAAGAGTACAAGAAAGACAAGTGCAAGTTCATGGCGGAGACCTCTCAAGAATATCTCACAAAGATGGCTGACGAACAACAAGTTATGTCCCTCGTCGAGGAAGAGTTAAAAACTGAAAAACTCTTGATACAGCAGAAACGTTTACAGCAAGATCTTAGAGACTTATACATAAAAATTTCAGATTTAAGAGGAAAGATGGCCGACTTTGGCATCAAAGAAGTAGGTACCATGGACATCAGTTGCGAGGACTTAGAATGGAAAGACGACCGAGGATCACCTCTCGGAAGTGGCTCTTTTGCTTCCGTTCATCGAGGAACCTTAAAGCTTCCTGAGGAAGAGAAGCCCGTGGACGTAGCACTGAAAGTGTGGAAAAAGGCACTGACTAGTGGCAGTGCAATAAACTTCCTTTCTGAAACAGACACCCTAAGGTTAGTTTCTATTAGTATGTTGTATGATGGAATTCTTGTTATTTTGTTCATATGTAGTTTTACAGTTCTTTCTTTTTGTCGTTCGTTTTGTCGTTTGGTTCACCTTTACAATCTGATAGCCTTGACTAAGCACGCACTTGACACTTACCTAAGTCGCTGGCGAACTCACCCGAGATGTTAGCGAAAGGGACGGCGGAGCTTATTTTAATTCGACTGATGAGGCTTGAATACGAGCGCCGGGGACGCTAGTTTGTAGAGGATCTTGGGCCGATTTCCTCCACAAAATTTTTAAATACACTCCTCCTACGTACGTCATACTAAAAGCAAAATAAAATGGGGGGCTAAAGTTATTGACGACTTCTGCACACTCAAGTTGTCAGCCAATCCACCTGAATTGCGGGCGAACTTACCTGCATTGTAAACAAAAGTTGTAAACTAACCAACTCAGGGTGCTCGCGAAATCACCTAAAGTTGTTAGTGAAGTAACCTGAGACGCCACTGAGCTAACCTAGGTAGCTAACCAAGGCAGACTCACTTATCCTAATTTGTTGGCGACTGAACCAACTTAACTTGTTAGCGAACCAAACTTAGTTTTCAGCAATCTCGGCTACTTGTTAACAAACCAAAATAAGTTATAAGCGAACAAATCGAACTCATCTGTAAGTTGTTGGTGAGCCTAACTAACTCGCTACTGTACAAACCTGAGTTCTGAGCTCTCCTAACTTGAGTTGTTAGCCTGCAAACCTAAGTTGAGTTTTTAGCGTACCATGTGAGCGAACTCAGTTAAGACTTGAGCGAACCAACTTGATACGTTAACAAACTAGCATGAGACTTCAGTGAACCAAGTAACTGTGGGTCGGTTCCCTAAATTATGGTTGGTTAATTCCTTGCAGTCTGGTAGGTCGATTCCCATCATGCTTTTTAACGCCAGACTATGGTTCTCTAACGTCTACAGGAAGTTGGCTTTTTGAAGTCTTATATCTTATCGGCCTCACATTGGTTAGCTTACGTCATTGGTTAGATTTTTAACCTCTTCGGTTAGTTCCCTAACGTTTTATGACCAATCACCTAATCTTAAATTGGTAGGGTAATGCCTCAGATTGGTTCGCTTACCTCCCGTGTCTGGGATTGCAGACATCGTTTAAATGACTCAGTAAATTAGCGTTTACTTTCGTGCAAAAGGAGCTGGAGAAACTGAATGTCTCTACAACCCATTTCTGTATCTAAAAAATTTTTTTGTCATGTTATGAATACCAATTTGACAAGTCTCTGAGTTCTCCCTGAAGTGAACGTCGGACACTAGAAGGTGTGCATGGAAAGAAAGTACGAAGAATTCCTATGCAACACCTCGACGATACTAGGACACGAACTTTGATCGCCAGTTTTAGTTCGTTATGAGTGTGAGAACTTTCTCAGACTAATTTGCGTAAGGTGTTTTGACGGGTGTCATGTGTAGAGGTGATGAACTGTCAAAACTGCGGGGACGACCAGCAAACAATTTTTTCGGAGCTCAATTTCTTATTGTGCCTTTTTTAGGAAGCTGAATCATCCCTTCGTTGTGAAGATGTACGGCGCAACACTCCTGAAGGAGAAGGGTGAATCGAAACCAATCCTTGTCATGGAACTCTGCAAGGAGAACTTGATGAAGCACATTTTCCGAAATCAGAACAATGTACCTGGTCTTTCTACAACAACTTCTGCTGCAAAAAACGTGATCGGATGGGCAAAAGACATTGCCAATGCTTTGGAATTCATACATAATAAGGGCATTATTCACAGAGATCTCAAACTGGAAAACACATTGGTAGGTAGGAGATAATCAGATGCGTCCACAATGATGGAGGTCAAGGGTTCTATCGTCCTCACACAACAGGACAATAAAAATAGCCTCTGTCGAACAAATGCTGTAATATTCTCGATGATAGGTTGGTGGGCGAGTGGCTGGAGAGGTTGATGGACTCGGATTATGATGGACTCGGAATCTGAGTCGTACAGTCTCGTACTATGCACGATAGACTAGTCACCTGATGGAGTAACTTTTTCTATAAAGGGGGTAAGTTTCTAAAGAAACTGTGGTGCTGCGTCGGTGGGAGAGTATAACAGAGTAATTTAGTGTTATCAACTGAGTTGATGACGTAAATTAGCCACCGTAAAGAGTTATAAGGCTGACGTTTTAGCCCTTCGTCAGAGCGACTGACGAAGGGGTTAGTTCACCGATGCAGCACCACAGTTTCTTTAGACACTTATCCCTTTTAGTCATTTGTCTTTTAATTGCTGCAACCACTAACTCTTGCCTCAGCCTCTTTACGTTACCCAATTTAGGTTATAAACTCAGTTGAAAACACTAAATTACCCTGTTAACTTCTTTTATGGTTTGGTAGGTGAATCATTTTTGTATATAAATATCTATGAAGTTTTCTAGATAATTAGCAAGCTCTTAACAGTTTTCACAGTTGGATATGACCATTGTAACACGCAGACACTACAGCGTTGATATTTAAGAGTAAAGAAAGAGTAGTAAAGTAGGTTACTAATTTGGTAATCATTGTTTGCTTTACATTTTAGTTATCGTATGATGGTGTTGTCAAAGTAGCCGATGTCGGCCTATCTAAAGAAGAAGACATGATCACAGGTACTCAAATGGGAACTCCAAACTACATGGCTCCAGAGGTGGCGTCCTTCAGACGCTACGACCGCAAAGCAGATATATATAGCTTTGGTGTAATGCTATGGGAGATGTGGTATGGTAAGAGAGCCTTTCATGGCATTGCTCCCGAGGATCTCCAGGAACAAGTGGCTCAAGGTGTAAGACCGGAGCATGTTCAAGACAGTAAGGAGCCTCCAAATGAGTGGCGAGATCTGATGCAGCGTTGCTGGAATGGAACACCAGATCAACGACCAAATTCTACAGCATGTCACAAGGAGTTGACCAGACTATACGAAGAGACCGCCCTAACTCCCTAATATGCCGACCGAACCGGAATTTTTTTTTGATAGGAAATGTGGTCTTTAAAAAGCCCCCTACTCCATAATAAAAAATTGTAGAAATGTAGTTTTACTCAGTCATTTGTGAGAGGAAGGGTATCACAAAAAAATACTTGTATTTGAAGACCTTGATCCCAATCCGTTTTATAAATTGATATTGTATAGGTTTTTAACTAAAGAAATGTATACTTGCATATGTCATTCGTTAAATTTGAGCAAGAAATGAAAAATGAAAATAGTTACTCGCACTTTGGCCCCCGATACTTTTTTTAATAAGACCCCTTCCTAGCCAAAAGGAACAAGGAGGCGTCTTTGCCTTTTTTCGAGCAGCAGAGAAGTTTGGGTAGATCTCACCCTAACAACCAGACCACATGACGCATTGTGCTTCACAAGCATGAAACTTCTTTGACGATCCACTAGGTAAAAGGTTTCAACAAGGGAATATAGACTGTTTATATTCTGCTGGTTCTAACCAGTAAAAAAAATTACACTACGAATGAATAAAGTAAACAAAAAACAAGACAGCAACGATAAAGAGAGAGGACAACCAAAGTTTGAGCCCTATAAGAGTTTGGGCTTGAAATATCGATTTGCCTAACCTCAATTTTTGAGGACCTGCGATTTCTGGAATATATCGCTTCTCTTTGAGAAACATTATCAATAATACTAGCACTGGTTGTAATCAACAAAACATCATTTCCTGTAACTCTCTCGACGTACCTATACCTATACTTGAATAATTCTTCTCGTAATTTACTTACTGCGTGACTAGTCACGCGGACTGCTAGACAAGCTCAGACAATGCCGTTAGTGGCAGGGATCCGTGACAATGCACTATCGTAATCAGACCCCCTGTGTGAATTGGACTGTGATAAATGAAACGAAACTGTTAAAGGTTTAGGTTTTTCCTTTTTTCGCAATTCTCAAAGCTTCTTTAAGCTTGAAACTGATGAAATTTTGATCATAAGTGTTCAAGTTGTTGATTTGCAACATGAGTACATTACCAGACATCGACAAGATCGACGACATCGTGGAGATGGCAAGCACAATGGCGACACTAAAAATTCCGTCCAAAGGGCTGAAAACGTTGGACGAAATGAAAGCAAAAGTGAAAGAGACACTCCAGTCGTCAGAGAAGAAGTCAAGTTGGACGGCAAAGGAGGTGAGAACTCTACAATATCTTTTAAAAATACGGGCTACTAGCAAACTCAATTTCACGACATTTTCAGTACAATGGCGGAAGTATCTAGATGTGACCCTTAATAAATGGTAGACGCAAACCATATCGTGAAATTCAGTAACAAATTGGTTAATAGCTCTCTCGATTCTAACTTAGCCATCGTTTGCGATTTAATCCCATGGCAATCTATTCAATGATGGCATCTCAGAAATGAATAGTAAAAGAAGAAACCGTATTTCCATGGACGGAAATCGTAGCATTCACCCGCCAAATGTTTCCCTAAGTTCAAACCTAGCAGTACGTAGAGCAATATAAAAGGCGGCTAATTACTTATTGATACTTCCATAAACGATTCTTACAACTAAGTTAACAAAATGATTGAAAATAAGAAATTGTAAAGTTTTGCTTCCACAGTCAGAGGTTATCATGCATACTATTGTTCGTAATTTAGGAAGCTTGATTGAACAACGATCGAGTCTCGAGGGTTCAAGTTGACGGCTCTTAGAACATCGAGGATTGATAAATTTTGGGAAAATCTGCTTCAATTTTGCTTTTTCCTTGTGCTTAGTGGTTGTAATTCAAAAGCATTTTAAACATTTGGGAAAATGTTGACGATTGTATCAGGTTTACATTTCTTTATTTTCTTAGAAATGCTTGCGTAATTTCTGTAAAATAAATGACCACGAACTTAAAGCCTGGAGTGACCTGATGCTTTTCTACGGTAAAAGGAAGCCACAAATATGTTCTACTATTCGAAATTTTCCGCGAGGAGTTGGAGTTCTTTCCTGCTGTGGCTAAACATCAAAATTTGCTTTTGATCACATAATACATGCATATTTACATATGTAATCATGGGTAACGTACCGCAAACAATAGCCTATCGATGGGTGCATTGCGGTAGTTTTTGAGCTTAAACCAGCCTAATGAATCTATTACCTAGATTAAGCTGCGCTCAGAACAGCGATGTGTATCTAGAAGTGATGTTATTATTAGCAAGAATTTCCAAAATGACTGTAAAACGGTTAAATTAACGAATTAGACCGAAAAGTAATCTTTAATTTACACAGGCGAATGTTGATGCACAGCATTTGTTTCATTTTGTGCCATTTATCAGGCCTTTTCAGTGTTGACGGAGGCAAAGAAAGAAGACGAGAGAAAACGAGCAACCTTGTTCAGTTTCTACGAACGCACGGATGTTTGCTTGCAAAGTATGGATGGAAAAGTTCATGCCCTTTTGGAACAGAACATCGGAAACCTCAAAGAAAAAATCGCTTCCCACAAACAAAATCTGCTGAAAAGAGAGTACATTGTTCTTGTTGCAGGTTTGTTATATGTAAACAATTTGACTGCCATTGCTTTGAAATTTTTAGTTTCGCCAACTTCCTCAACCAATAGACTTGAATTCAAGACTAACAAAGAAAAAAAGGCTTCGTTCAGCTATTATACTAATCCAGCCTCAACTAATAAGAAAGCTAGTGATCGAGCCATAAAGTAAATTAAAAGTATATTTCTTTGAGGGAATTACTTTCAGTATATTTCATCCTTCCTTAATTGTGCTTTCGTGTAATATACTCCCTTAAGTAATATTAACTGTTTACACCCTAAGATCAGTTTGCATATTCCCCATACTGTTCTTTATACATTTCCTAAGGTACTGACAAGGAGACTTTGTTTAACAATCACGAGCTCCTTTACTTGATGATCATTTCCTCAATTCCCATGACCTGAATATGTGAATCAGAGGTGATCTTGTAAGGAGAAATTAGATGTTTGTCACTCTTAGGGGTTAAAGGGTTAACAGTGGGAACTTTATTGCTAATATCTTCTAATCAAACTTGATAATCACACGAATACTTTTTCAATTCTACGGAAACCCTGAATCTCACAACATTTAACTTTTATTGATGGACTAAAGATTACTCATTTATTTATTCACAAATTTTCAATTATCCAATTTGCTACTTGGTTCTTGTATGTCATAAGGGGCTCCACTGACCTGTCCTTTCACCTCACAACTTTTCCCAAACATCCTACTCTTAGTACACAGGCCCCCCCATTCAAACCAGGTTGTAGCTGAACTTGGCCAGCCTGGTTGATAATTAAATACAACACACTTATGAAAAAATGAGTGGACAAAGTGGGAGTCTGCTGGTCCAGACCAACTAAGACTATTTTTGATAGTTCCTTTAAAGGAAGTCTGTCTTTTGAACGTGGCACATAGTATGGCCAACCTCGAGCTGCTATCTGGGTGAAAGCTATATAATTGTGGACAGCAAGAGGAACAGTTTTTTATGAAAACAAATTAGAAGAAGAAAGGAAATTTTGTTTGGGATTTCTGATGGAAACGACCGGGGAAGAAGATTCTCTTGTTCGACGTAACTGAAGTAGAATCGACCCATTCTTACCAATGTTTTTTATTTCTTCCCTCCCTATTTCACCTGTTTATACTTACCAGGCGAAACAAGTTCAGGAAAGAGCACTTTGTTAAATCTTATCCTTGGAGAGCAGCTTCTTCCTTACTCCGTTCTGAGTACCACATCCACCATCTGTGAACTAAGATATGGAGAAACACCAAAGCTGGTGGCGCACTTTAAAAACAAAGAATTAGGGGATATCACAAAGACTGTCGTCTTAGACGAGCCATCTGAAGCCTCCGAGCAGAGTTACCTTCAACAGATTTCCGAATTCGTCCACCTAAAGACTAACAGAGAAAAGGGCTCAGATTACGAAAAGATTGAGTTGTTTTGGCCACACAATCTGTTGAAGGTTAGACATGAGCAAGCTCAGTAACTATTCGGGGTCTTAGAACTGACCTTTAGAAACATAATATTGATGTCAGCAAGCTTAAGAATGTTCGTGCATGAATATATTTTACGATATAAAACTGTCTTTTATATTCCTTTATGATTGAAATTGATATTAGGGATGTTAGAGAAATTTAAGGACTCCAAATTTCTAACTTTTCCCAAATCATTTGCCATACTGCATAGTAACTGCTTGCACACGTTGTTATTTGGAATTCTACCTGGTTTTTGTTGCTGTTTTGTCACAAGAACTGATTGTTGACATCTCAATTGGTTGTTGTCATCTCAAATGAATAGTTGCACACATCTCTTTTGATGTATCCTTATTACGGTCACTAATAAATGAGTAACAGCAGTATTGACTGAAAGTCACGTCCGACTAAATTCTGATGATTAATTCGGTTAAGGATGTCAAAATGTCACTTAATAGGAACAGATATAGAGGACATTAGATTGAGAGTTGAGAGTAATCCGGACTTAATCTCGCTCTGTGATTGGTCCAGAAAACTCATGCTAATTCATCAATCATGCACATTCAAAACCAAAGCCAACCGCAACTGACTCGCGCTTTCCCCTGCAAAGAGTTGTTCGCTTGTTTTTTCTTTGAGCTAATTCTCTAATTGGTTGTTGTGATTACTTTTGAGTTTGGTCTTATGACAACAAATCGAAACGCACTCTAGAGAGGGATACTCAAGGACAATATTTTCCTTCAATGAATGTGAATATATGAAAATCATGTATGTGATCTGCGGATTAAGAAATGAAAATGAAAGGGATTTTCGCAGTAATGAACACTTCTTAAGCAGTGGTGAAAATATGGCCTCAAGAAAATTCAGGCCTGTACGGGATTTCAAGATTGAAGATCGAAGCAAAGATCGCTTTCATATTCAATATTTTGCTTGTTACATCTTTTAGGAAAATATCGTAATAGTCGACAGTCCAGGAATTGGCGAATCTACCATCATGGATGACATAGTTAAGGAGTACCTTCCAGAGGCTTTCGCATTTATTTACGTCATCAAAAGTGACAACGCCGGTGGAATACAGCGAGATAGGGTAAGCCGGACACTTTAAAATGCGAAATGCATTGACTTCTTATTGCAAAAATAATTAAAGGAAAAATGTGCTGCAAAACTCGTATCATTTTTTGAATCCTTTATTTTAAAGATGTGTGAGAGTAACTTAATTGTTCGAAAATTTTCGTCAAATGTGCCAGAAGAAGGAACTTAGCGAACATGAGTTGCTCCTGCATAGTGGTTACGCGAGGCATTAATAACCGTTTCAAAAAAGGGAAATTACTGAACTAGCCAGAAAAAGTCGACAGATAGCTGATTCTGTCTCTTTGCCTTCAGGTGGAAAAACTTATTGAACACGCCAGACAGATATCCCTTGACAAACAAAGGGAATCTTCCTCAAATTGTGCCCTATTCGTTTGCAACAAGTGGGACCAGGTGCCGCCAGAAGAAACTGATGAAGTTAAGAACTATGTCGTGACGAAACTCACGCAGTGCTGGCCTTCTTTAGATCCAGAATCTCAGATCATTTATATGTCAGCCAGAGAAGCCATTGAAGCTCAGAAGCTTGGAATGGTCACGAAAGAGTTTGCTGAACTAATGAAAAGTATTAAGTCCATGGTTTTGAAAAGTATTGAAGCAAGATTACAGATTCAGTGGAGGTAAATTGTTTTGAATCCTTAGCAACAAAATGATTATTGAAGAAGTGGCATCTGTTGGAAATGTCTTTTGGGTTCTGAGAATAGGAATGAAAAAAATTTTCATTCTGATTGGCTGCGTGAAATGCATTTTTCAGGAAACAAAAAAGCATAAGCCGAAGGTAATTAAGTGCATAAAATGTTAACTTAGTGCGAAAAAAGCCAAGAAACTGTTCATCCTGGCCATGCTTTGCATGAATAAATATAGTGACGAAGTATAAAAGTCAATTGAAAAATTTCCTTCATTCTTAGGTGGCTTGACTATCTTCTTGCTCGTATGGCCCTCCACACGAAAGCGTTCATTCGAAATTCGTCCAAAGATCGTAAAAATATGATAGATAGGATGATGTTTATCACTGACCGACTTCAAAGTATTGAGAGGCAGCAAGGCACAGTAAGCAAAGAGCTGCAGTCGTATCTCGAAAAAAAGACAGACGACGCTGTGACTACACTGTCCAGATACCTCAAGTCTGCAGAGGTTATGCAGCAGTTTTCTTCGTGGACATTAGATGACGCTCCAAAGACTGAAGAAAACTGGGAACTGACTAGGAATTATATCCAAAAGGCGCTGACGAATCGACTTCAAGAAACGATAGAAGAATGGGAAGAAAAGAACCAAGTCTTTTCCGATGCTCGCGCCTCTTTGATTCAATACTTTCAAGAGAGGTTCAGCTACGTCGTGGGTCAACTTCGAACGCTGGAGGAATCTGTCCTAGCCGGAGATGCTGCCAACTCAGCAGGTGGCCCGCTGGCATCGGATGACTTTAGCGTCGCCGAAAAAGTCATCATCGGGGTCACAAGTCCAATTTGGGTTCCAGTTGGTCTGGTTGTCCTGGTGGTCAGTGTCCCGGTAGTTGGCGCCATAGCAGTTAAAGAGAAGTTGGGAAACTGGAATAAAACAAGACAGTACAACAAAGATAAGTGTGCCTTTATGGTAAAAGCTTCCCAAGAATATCTGAATGAAGCAGCAAAAGAACAGCAACTAAAGTCATTCGTGATGGAACAGCTTAAAGAAGCTCAGGTTTGTCTTAAGCAGGTCTTAGATCGGATCCCTCAGCTCATAGAAGCGGACAAAATGTTGTGTCAACAGTTGAGAGATGAGAACCGTTCTAAGAAGGAAGTAGAAGACTTCTACAAACCGTTACAAGAGATGAGTGTGCTAATAAGGGATGAGATGGCCCTGTTTGGCATCAAAGAGGTCCGCAAAATGGACATTAGCTGCGACGATCTGGAGTGGAAAGACGATGCACTCCTTGGAGGTGGAGCGTTCGCTGCTGTTTATCGAGGAAAATTGAAGATACGAGGAGACGATAAATCCGTTGATGTTGCTGTGAAAGTGTGGAACGACGAACTCGAAGTTACTGTTAGTAACTTCCTTTCTGAAGCAGAGATACTTAGGTTGGTTTTGTCATTTTATGGATCTTGAGATGTTATATTGTTTACGAAAGAAATTCCATTTGCTAAGACCTTGGGGAAGTACTAAATATATTCTGGCGGGTAGCTGATGTGGTATTTTCTTAAACGTAAGATTCTTTTCTGTTCAAGAAGCTCATAGTAATAAGAGGATTTATTTTTATTACATGATGTCTTTCTGAAGCTTTCAGAACACTCAGAATCTAGATATATTTTAGTGCACATCGGGATATTAATTAGGAAAAACCTTTATAGTGAGATATATCACCATTCATTTTCCCAACCGTACCGTTGGAACTCTTAAGTGGTACAAGTATCTGATTGCTCCTTACATCATCGCCACTGAATCGAGCATTAAGGTCAAGAGAATAAGGGAATGATTGCAGTATCAGAAAACGTTTCAGATAACAGTATAGAGAATATGCATACTGTCTCAAAAGTTTAAGCTGTTTACGCTACATTTTCTTTATGTAGGAAGCTGAATCATCCCTTTATTGTGAAGTTCTATGGTGCAGCACTGCACAAGGTAGGGGAGCGGTTGAAAGCAATACTGGTGATGGAGCTCTGTAAGGAAAACCTGATGAGGTACATTTTTCGGCGTGAAAGCAATATACCTGGAAAGTCGTCAACTGCTACAGCTGCGAGAGATGTGATCGGATGGGCAAAAGACATCGCCGATGCTTTGGAATACATTCACAGACAAGGTATCGTTCACAGAGATCTCAAGCTGGAAAATATACTGGTGAGTTAAAAATTGGAACTAATGGTTATCGTGACTATTTATAATTGTAATCATCTTCGTCCTTCGAGACTCATCTCACACTTCATCGAATTCTAATTTGCTCGCCTTCACCCAGTTTATATATATATATTCATTTCTAGTCGGCCTTTCCTGACGACTACCAATTTCTAATTTGACTCAATTTTTTTAACAGTCGAAATCTATGGACTTTTGTATTAAAAATGTGTCAAAAAAATGTTTATCTAATTTTCCCGCAGCTGTCGCAAGAGAATATTGTCAAAGTAGCCGATGTCGGTGTTTCTAAAGAAGCCAAAGCGATCACAGGTACCTTGGCGGGAACTCCTGTGTATCTCGCTCCAGAAGTGATCAATTCCTGTTTGTACGATTACAAAGCAGACATCTACAGCCTCGGTATAATGCTCTGGGAGATGTGGTATGGTAACAGAGCCCTTCTTGACGTGGGAGGAAATGTGTATGAGTTTTTCGAAAAAGTGGTTGGGGGTGCGAGACCTACGCATGTCGAAGGCTTAAAGAAGCCTCCAGCTGGTTTGCATGATCTGATGCAGCGTTGCTGGGAAGAAAAACCTGATAATCGACCAGATGCGAGAAAGTGTTGCGAGAGGTTGACTCAACTCTCTCAGGAAGTTAGCGCACCATCTTCGTAAACACTGGTTATTAGGCAACCACCTTGAATTTGTTTACTTTTCAAGTGTAGACTGTTTTGGAGCAACAGTGATTTAAAGTGTTGTAAGATATCCCATATGACTCTTATAGCAAACATATTAGCCTCACCCGCGCCAAGTTTCCCGTTTCAAACTTAGTTCGTACATCATAGAAACCTATTCTGGTCTCAGTCAGTACTAAGGACTTCTATCGAGATCAGTGTCATTTAAGATGATTCCGTGAGGCCTAAGCGCACAGATGTAGATGGCTCCTCTGCTGCTTTGTCTGTGAGACGATCTTTTTTTACGGTACAGTGTTGTCAGTCCATTGCCCTGCTCTTAGCCTAAAAGTGGCTTCGTTAGGCATGAAAATTAACGCAAGAAGTGTATACCTGTGAAATACATAGATTCTTACGCAGTGAGTTGACGGAATGCAGGAGTGGTGCGTGGCAGTTCTCTAAATCTCTGCAGGATGATTGTTATAATATGTATACAATCTTTAAGTCCTGGTGTTCTCTAGATCTTGCAAGCAAAAAAGAGACTACCGAAAGTCTTAATCAAGCGACCGTTCTCTTATGTTAAAAAGGCATAGTACAGTCATATTGTCATAGTATCGTTAACTGATACAAACATACAATAGTTTCAATGATGTAGTAGATTTCTTTTAATAAGAGCTGGCTATCATGAGTATTAATCTCCTTAGGACCTATTTTTTGGGGCTTTTGACAAATAGTTGGCTTGTTACTATTTTGAACGAGGAACAAGAACAATATTCTGAAGGCGAATATTGTTCTGTCAGCTTGTATGAAAGCTTTTACCGGATTTTAGAGTCAGTTTCACCATCTGGTGTAAGACACTTGTAATCGTTTACTCCTAGAAAATTTCGTATAAAGCATTATGTTTTTTAAATATATACATAAAATATGATGCAGGAAGGTCAGAAATCTCCTATCTACTTCTAAATAATCACAGAAATAGAGTTGTAAGCACAAAAAGGGTCAAATGACGTGCACAGAAGCTCCCTTGCAAGTAATTTCAATACTGAGCAGCGTACATTTTCATGACGAAATTATGTGATTAAACTCGGGAAGAGAAAACAAAGTCCCATCATTTTCAATTAAGAATTGATAAACGAAGCATTTACGAAGATAATTAGACTTACATGTTTCTTAAGATCGCAGACTGTAAAGGTCAAATAGAGACGTAATCCAGTTATTTCTTCCATCGATCTTCCAACACCTTTTACTTATAATTTGAACTCTATGGATGAAAAAGTAGGAGCCCTTTTGGAACAGGACGGAACAGGAGATCTCAAGGGCAAAATCGTTTCTTACAAACGGAATCTAAAAACGGAAGAATGTATGGTGTCCATTAACCACCGTAGTTCCCTCAGCGAGGGGAGGAGCGCATATTAGAACGAGGGCACTTAATCGAGGAAGGAAGAGGGGGCTTATTAAGTTAGGGCAGAAAAAGGACAAAAATCAAAAGAGTAAATGACGCACATAAAGGAACTCTGCACGCAAATGGAGATAGAAATGGTTGGAACGGCTAAAAAACTATTCTCTTGTACTGATTCGCTGCAGTTAAAGCTTGAAAATTACAATTAAAGTGGCAATAAATACGGGTTTTCCTTGTATCCCTGCTATTAACCCTTCACTCGCATGAGTGACCAAGACAAAATTTCTCCTTACAGTATCAATACAATATCAAGCAGATAAGTGATGAGAATAACAAAAAAATATCAGTAAGGGGAATAAAAGTGGATCCAATACCAAATTCTCCAAACTAACATCACAAGAACTGCATGTGAGACAGCAAAGAGAATTACTAATGAGATCTTGGGAGTTAAAGAGTTAAAGAAATTGAGGAAGGACGGGGGACGCTTATTCGAGATGGGCGCTTTTTTGACATTATGGTCTAAGGGGTGGACGCTTAGTCAGGGGAGGGGGCTTATCATCACGTGTGCGCTTATTCGAGGAAGATCACCGATGTACCCTTTCGTCATTCCCTCCATCGATTCCTGCATCCTTTTAGCCATTCTTTTTTTTTTTTCTATTTTTGTAGTCCTCAAAAAGTGACGAGGAAGCTTTAGATACATAGACACATCGTCGACGTTGTTGTTTCTTTAATTCCCTATGTATTGCCCTTTTACAAGACAAAATCTTAAAGGTTAAAATCGATTGACTAAATTTCGTGGTTGTTATAATTGACATCCTAGGAACTTTTGAATCCCCCACCATAAATGAAAAGGCAAAGGCGTACCTTTAAGAAGCCTCCGCATTCATCTGTTTTGTCAGTGGTGTATATAACGGAGGAATGCATAGAGACAAGGTAATTTTGTAAGGTCTAACAAAAGATTTTAAAAGATATATACAAACAAACAAAAAAAGAAAAAACTCGCATGTTGTGGAGCTTTCCCAAAAGATTCAACTTTACAGGAAGGGGGGAGTTATTTTTGCTTTTTTTGTTAACCTATTCAATCGCAAGATCTCATTGGTAATTCTCCTTCAAGTTAATGTCGGCCATACTATTCTTATGATGTTATATAGTTCAGAGAATTTGGTATTGGATAAACTAATAATCCCATAATTGATATTTTTTTATATTCTCGTCACCTACCTACTTGATATTGTATTGATATTGTAAGGAGAAATTCTGTCTTGGTCACTTGTGGGAGTGAAAGGGCTAAAATGATTTAATGGTTGCTTTCGAGAAGTAATTTTCTGCAGTTGCACTTCAGTGATAGTTGTTGTCTAGAAGAGGTGGTTGTTGTCAAGATTTTAGAACAAGATTAATTGAAGGAGCCATCCTCGGGACAAAAGGTACAGAAGGGTGTGTATCGTATAAAGGTCGACCATTGCTCGAGGTTCATCCGAAGGCACAACTCATGTTTCTTTTAACTGTTTGTGATCAGGTATAAAAAATAAATCGCACACGCCAAACAGATCAGTGCATTTCTGCACCAACGAATGAAGTCTTCGTCAACTTGTCCTCTTTTGATTTTAACCAAGTTGGATCAAGTACTGCCACAAGGGGCTTACAAGCTTAAGAGTTGCACTATAAAGGATCTCACAGAGCGTTGGCCCGGTGAGGACCCGCAGTAACAAATCATTTAGATTTCATCAAGCAATGAGAGCAACGCACAAATCCTCGGAGAAACTTCTAATGATGCTACATGCGCTTCACTGATAAATGGTATTTCATCCATGGTTTTAAAAGGCAGTTAAACAAACTTGGAGAAGCAATGGAGGTAATTTGTCTCAGACTGCTAAAGGCTTTTCTGAATGTCCATTAGGGATTCAAACTAAGTAAACTTTGCGAAATTTCCGCCCTTCCCCGAAACTAATCAGATTGTAGAATATGAAGTCAAAGAAATTGCGAGAAAGAGTCCTGAGTAAAATGTAATGAAGGGTTTGGAACCTATGTTCCCTTACTACCAAATAAGCAACGAAGCCACATGTTTGGGAGGGGCAAATTTAGGGAGTTTCGCGGAGTCATTCTCAAATGAGGAATTTAATTGCAGATAAATTAAAAAAGTAAATAATGTATCCCAAGTGAACTGCAGTTAAAGAAATTGCAAAGAATAACTTCGAATTGGTTATTTGTTAATTGATTTACAGGTCAAAAGGTGATTTACACAATTAGTTTGTAGTTACAGGCTTTGCTGAATTTCTGCTGTTCGCGCTAACTCGTGATGTTCTATTTTTCAGCTGCTTTACTACCTTCTTTCACATATGGCCTATCGCACCAAAGCAACTCTACGCGATCCTTCAGTAATAGAGGTGATGAATTTTGTGACTGAAAGTCAGCAGTGCGCGGTAGACAAAAAGCTGAACTCGACAATCAAGGCCTCAGCTGCCCGGGAATTGTCCAAATTCCTCAACTCCCCAGAACCTCAGCAATATTTTACTTCGTGGTCATTAGACAATGTATCAGACGTCGGGGAATTGAAAAGTGACAGAGGAAAATATAAAAAAAGCATCAGTGAAACGACTTCAGGAGAAGATCGAAGATTGGGAGATACAGATCATTGTTTTCTCAGAATGTCGCACTTTACTGACACAGAACCTGTTATGGTATTCTAAAAGAGTTGAGCGACAGAATCAAAATGTCCAGAACTCACTTAAAGCGGATAGTGTAGCGAGCTCATCATCAACTGATCCAGACAGTCATTATCGGAGTCACGGGTCCTATCGGGGTTCCCGTCGGCTTCGTTGCTTTTTTATTCAGTGCTCCGGTAAATGGAACTATGGCTGCCAAAGAAAGGCTGGATAATCGGAGTTAAAAAAAAAAAGTAAAAGAGAGACAAGTGCAAGTTCATGGCGGAGGCCTCTCAAGAATATCTTACAAAGATGGCTGATAGACAACAAGTTATGTCCCTCGTCGAGGAAGAGTTTAAAACTGAAAAATTCTTGTTACAGCAGAAACGCTTACAGCAAGATGTTAGAGATTTATAGATGAAAACTTCAGATTTAAGAGGAAAGATGGCCGACTTTGGCATCAAAGAAGCAGGTACCGTGGACATCAGTTGCGAGGACTTAGAATGGAAAGATGACCGAGGATCACCTCTCGGAAGTGGCTCTTTTGCTTCCGTTTATCGAGGAACCTGAAAGCTGCATGAGGAAGAGAAGCCCGTGGACGTAGCACTGAAAGTGTGAAAAAAGGCGCTGACTAGTGGCAGTGCAATAAGCTTCCTTTCTAAAACAGACACCCTAAGGTTAGCTTATGCAGTTTTACAGTTTTGTTTTTTTCTCTGTTCACTGCTATGTTTAGTTCACCTTTACAATCTAATGGCCTTCACTGAGCACGAACTTGACACTCACCTAGTTCGCTGGCGAAGTCACCCAAGATGTCAGCAAAAGGGACGGCGGAGCTTATTTTGATTCAATTGAGGAGGCTTGAAAACGAGCGCCGGGGACGCTAGTTTGTAGAGGATCTGGGGCCGATTTCCTCCACAAATTTTGAAATACATTCCTCCGACGTACGTCATTATAAAAACAAAATAAAACAAGGGGCTAAAGTTATTGTCGACTTCTGCTCACCCAAGTTTTCTGCGAATCCACTTGAGTTGCGGGCGAACTCACCTACGCTGTAAAAGAAAGTTGTAAACAAACCACTGACTCAGGTTGCGTGCGAAATCACTTAAAGATGTCACTGGAGTAACCTGACTTGCTACCGATTTAACTTTGGTTGCCAGCGGACTCACTTATCCCAATTTGTTGGCGACTGAACCAACCTAACTTGTTAGCGAACCAAACTTAGTTGTCAGCAAACTTGGCTACTTGTTAACAAACCAACCTAAGTTGTTAGCGAACTAATCTGAGGTACTGGCGAACTCATCTGTAAGTTGTTAACGGGCCCAACTAAGTTAATTGTAAGCGAACTCACTTAAGACTTAATTGACCGAACCAACTTGAGACGTTAAGGAACTAGCATAGGACTTCAAACGAAGTAACTGTGGGTCGGTTCCCAGACTTATGGTCGGTTAATTCCTTGAGGTCTGGTAATTCGATTTCCCTGATGCTTTCTAACGGAAAGTGAAGAGTTCTGAGTTCCTCCAGGTGTGACCATTGTACTCTCCTTTTCGTAAAGTGTTTTTACGGGTGTCATGTGTAGAGGTAATGAGCTACCGATACTGGGACGACCAGCAAACAATTATTTCAGAGCTCAATTTCTTATTGTGCCTTTTTTAGAAAGCTGATTCATCCCCTCATTGTAAAGATGTACGGCGCAACACTTCTGAAGGAGAAGACCAATCCTTGTCATGGAACTCTGCAGGGAGAACTTGATGAAGCACATTTTCCGAAATCAGGACAATGTATCTGGTCTCTCTACAAAAACTTCGGCTGCAAAAAACGTGATCGGATGAGCATAAGACATTGCCAAAGCTTTGGAATTCATACATAATAAGGGCATAATTCACAGAGATCTCAAATGGAAACACATTGGTATGTAGGAGATAGTTCGATGCGTGCACAGTGATTGAGTTCAAGGGTTCTTTCGTCCTCACACAACAGGACAATAGAAATAGCCTCTGTCGAATAGATGTTGTAATCACGATTTTTATCTATGTCGATGATAGGTAGGTGGGTGAGTGGCTGGATGGATTGATGGACTCGGATTCTGATGGACTCGGAATCTAAGTCTTACAGTCTCGCACTATGCACGACAGACTAGTCACCTGATACAATAACTTCTTTTATAAAGGGGGTAAGGTTCTAAAGAAACTGTGGTGCTGCGTGAGTGGGAGAGTAAACCAGGGTAATTTAGTGTTATCAACTGAGTTGATAACGTAAATTGGCCACCCTAAAGAGTTATAAGGCTGACGTTTTAGCCCTTCGTCAGAGCGATTGACGAAGGGCTAAGTTCACTGATGCAGCAGCACAGTTTCTTTAGACACTTACCCCCTTTATTCATTTGTCTTTTAATTGCTGCGACCACTAACTCTTGCCTCAGAATTTTTCAATCCAGTCGCTCTGACGAAGGGCTAACGCTCGAACGTCAGCCTTTTAACTCTTTACGGTGGCCAATTTAGGTTATAAACTCAGT